AACTTGTCCAATATCACGACATTTGAAGCATTTAGAATTATGAAATTTACATGAATTAGAAGAGTGGAACTTGCAACAGGACAAACACTGACCAAACTTGTCCCCATCCTCGTGAACTGCATCCAAATTCAATGAATTGTCTGCATAACCTTGAGTATGCACTAGGTTGAGATGACGTAGTAATGTAGTGGACTTTTTTATATCCTCATGAATCATTTTACGAAATCTTCCTCCTTTACGACATTTGAAATTTGTATACTGAGCATAGTCTAGCAGTAGATCCTTGAGAGCTGTATAAGAAAGCGAAATGGGTTTTTCCGGCATAGCCAGAGTTCTTAATAAGCTGTATGCTTCTTTTCCAATGAATGTGAGGAAGTGTGCCACAATATTAACATCCTCATCATCTTCCTTGGTCATAGCCCAGATTTCGAACCTTTCAAAGTAATCTTCAAAAGCTTCTGAAGTTGAATGAATATCTAACTTTTCCATTGCAGGCTCCATCGCGACGCCAATATAGTATTCTAATTATAGTATGAATTAGGAATTCCAGGATTAACGCAATTGAATTAAGAAGACACAGGCACAACGAATGTACTGTATTTAGAATTCGAAATCGAGCATTCAACAAGTACAAAAGAATCATTAGTTAATTCAAACACCACACTTAACTATGCCTAAAGTATAAAAAATAAAGGACCTAGGACAGAACCTTGCGATACTCCACTAAGTACTGGTCGCCAGGTGGAACAATGTACAAAGTTATTTTCTCTGCATACAAGTACCTCTTGGTGTAACTACTTGAATGGACATAACACTGACACTGAAAAAACAATAACTAGACGACACTTTAACTGGTAATTTAGTCCGACCTAAATAAAATCAAAAGTTTGCACACCTTGAGAATGATCAAGGTTAAAAGATTTACTCATTAGGGAAAGATATCACCAAAACTTTTAAATAGCGCCCATTTACATTTATGAGAAACCAAAGGTAAATAAAAAAAATTAATACAATAATAATGCACCTTAGTATAACTTTAACACAAATTAAGTATGCTACAGTCTGTTTTACGTTTTTTTCCACAGTGATGTTAAACACTGCGAACTAAGTAGTTGCGTTCCATTTTTGGACCAATCAGGGCTGGTCTATTTTCGTCGCGCATTATTATAATGTCTTTATGTGTGGGAATTTCGATAGCACTTTCTTGGTAGTATTCAGAGTCGCTTATATTTTTTAAGAGTCTGTAATTATGTTTTAGTGTACGTTTTTAGTGGTTAGGATTCTGGTTGTTATCATGTAACTAAATTAACTTGACAAGTAATACGTTGTTCAGAATATCATTTTTATTGACCTAATCTTGTAAATATTTTGAATCCATATTTTCATATTATGGGACTCATCCTATTAAGTATTTAGTGAATGCTTGGAACTCTTTATATAACGGCTCCCAGTAACTGGGATCTTACAACTCTTATGAATGCCAGGTTTTAAAAGATATGTAGATCAAAAAAGATAAATATATAGTTCAATTATTCACAATAAATCACAGGTAGTGCCTGGGTAAGTTAATGATGGCGTTTATTTCAATATTTGATAAGGGTTAGTTGTGAATCATAGTTGCCAATTCTTGTTGTCAGTGTTGATTCACTATAAATTTTCGATTCTTGAATCTATGAGTTATTGCAACCCACTCGTAAGGGACTAGGTCACACGTACTTAGAACTTATTTGGAACTTGAACATAGGATTTTACGTACAAAATACATAGTGATCCTTCCTCTCCAACACTAATTTGCTGAATTTAATAATACTGCCAGTGACCTATCAGATTAGGAAGTGAACTATGCAGTCGTATAGTACTATTGTTCTTTCAAATTTTACTTGATGGGATGTCAATAAACTAAAAACACCTGGTTAGGGTTGTGTTGTATATTGCACGGTACACAGCTCACTTGGTTTCCTTCGACTTGCGCCACCTGTGGTGCAGACGAGTTATCCATCTGTCTCTCAAAAGGCAAGTACACTGTACATCATCCTGCTCTATACTGCTCAGTGGTTGCAAAATATTGCCAGCGAAAGTGTAGGTTGTTAGTATCCGATCGCATCTCTTCAAACCATTTTTCGAGTATTATGAAAACAGGGAGTAATTCTAAATTTAAGCATTTGCTTTTTGGTGAAAATAGTTACTCGATTTATGGTTAGGTTATGTGCTGCTGATATGATAGACAAGAGTGTACAAACCTTTTAAAGGCTCTCTAATCGAACACTATTGGTCGGGTCAGCTTATAGCGAATTGTCACCAGAATTGTTAACCTCCAGTGGTGTTATTTAGTTATCTCTCGTTTAATTGGCTTCGCGATATATGCTTCTCTAGCAACAGCACTTTCTACACTTCACTTTTCAGGAGTTGGTCGCACTTCAGACAGTTCACTTATCGGCTAGAAATACTCAGGCCACGACACAGACAAAATGCAATCTTGATCGTATTAAGTGACTTATATGAAATGCTATTCCATCTCTAGTTTCATGGCGTTGCTTCATGACTGACCTGGGTCTACGCCTGAATTAATGACAGAAAAGTAGTTAAGCATGTCGACCACCTGTCTTGAAGGTCTCACCGCCCTTTGGGGGCTAGTGTCTGACGGAATCTGGGGACAGATTCATAAAGCTTGGTTAGGTTTTATCAACTTACGTCACTTATCTCATAGCCAAGATGTCCATCTGCCAACTAAGGGGATGTATACACAGCAATACTATCTGTATTACTTTATGGCTGTGAAACGTGGTCTATATAAAGAGAAAAAATTCATATACTGAAGATTTCTGGTCACAGAGGTTTTCAAAACACTGCTTGCGTTTCTCGGAATGTCACTGGCTCAGATGCACTCACCGTTTCTCTTCCTCTAGATCTTGAATTTCAGTATTCATTCATACATTTTACTTATTATTTGTTTATTTATTTGAACACAAATATTGATACAAAGGGGCACCGACACCGTTCATTTATTTATTTAAACTCATAAACATTGTTACAAAGGAGCACCAAAATATTTATGGTCCAAACAAATCATTGAATTTGTTTGTGGGCTAGGATACTACCACGTTGTCTAATCCACTAGGCAGTGAAGCAATGTTAAGAAATATGGTCCCATGGTAGCATGTAATGGGTTCATATGCCATTTATTCCCTCACAATCCTGGAATCCATGTGCACCGTTGGTTTGGAATCATGGTTTTCCAACTTCCCTGGCCGGATACTCAGCACTCGCCAACCCAGTTTAGGGGCCGGAAGTTAGCTTTTTGTCTTCTCAATTTCATGAACAGTACCCTGGCCGCGAGAAGCCAGTGAATAGGACTTCCCTGACAGTGGCTATACACGCGCGACTGTACGAGAGGGTGAAAGGATTCACTTCACCCTTGGCTGTACCAAGGCCTTTGAGGTCATTCATGGGGCTTACGTCAATACCGATACCTTAGTTTTGTACGCAAATATCAATCAGCCACATCTTATCACTGTTCATTATCGACTGACCAACATTTTTAACAATATCAAACTGTTTGGATAATCAAATCATCAAAACTTTTCCATAGCACCTAGGTATGCTCAATCACTTTCTACAGCAACATACAGTGGTAGCAAGTTTTGGCACAGGTTTAAAGCAGGTTAGGGGTGATCAAACCAGCATTAACCTAGTCAGTGACTGTTGATATGAACCGTGCGAAATTCGTGGTTTAGGTTAGCACAGTAATCGTAATCCATGGTTGAAAATGTTGGAGATGTCCCAAAATCATTTACAGTAGTTTAGATGAATCTATTGTTTGTATACCACTAGGTCATAAGTTTCAACATTGTCCCATAATTTTTATTCCTCAAATTCACTCTTTTCTGAACCGCATCCTCTATATTTAGTCTTTTTCACCATCATTGTTACTATTAATTTCGATTCTTTTGCTACTCATCCTGGTAAATTTATCTCGCTGTTTTGATATGGTTAGTTCACTTTTTCTAATTCACATTCTTCCTAGTTTCTACATCGATTGTAACTGACCAACTGTATTTTGAGCAAGTAAATGTATCTATTTCATTGAAATCGTTCCTCAGATCAAAACGTATCCAACCCCTAGATAGAAATAGGAAAAGTGAAGCCGAAATTTTGAAACAACAGGGACGTCATCCCTCATGCATAGCAAGTGGTGGACCACTTGATCAATCTGTATGTAGTTATATGACAATACGATAGATGTCTGAGGTGTGTTCCATTTGTTTAACCATTATCATCTACTTGGCGTAGGGGCAGATTTAATAAAAAACCGGTCAAACTATAGGATGGTGTCAGTTAATAAATCCATTTAATGCCAAACTGAGTTGTATTGATAATTGCAAGCCGCTTGTTCAGAGTTTTCTCGACAGTTACCACCATTAGTTAAAGATTTCGGGTAACGTGACTCGGAATCTGGCAAACTGACCCGGATCTTTTGATTTCTACCTTTCGAACTATGTTCTTAATGTTTAGTCCTACAATCATTGATACTACCGCTATTTCGTTATTTATACAATTAAGTTCATCCCATGTATTAAATAAATAAGTAAGATGTATAGCTTTATATCATGTTGATGTGGTTTGAAAATTTGGGGGATAGCACATTTATTCAAGGTTCCGGGTTAACTATCAATAAATGTGATCCACATCTAATCTCCAAGATCTATAACTTAGCGTTTTTCGAAGAGTAAAATTTTAATTCTCACGTCCTCAGAATATGAGGTTTAACATTGTATATACTTAGGATTTAAATCGATATCTTTTATTACACATATTTTAGATCAGGTCTTAAACAATTATGACTTTTAATTCATATCCTGTAATCTGTAACCATCCATTTTATTTCAGAAATCCCCACTGGTACAATACTTTTCGGTTATAATGTATTCAGTTATTTCAAGCGATTTTCGAACAGCAGTTAGTACTATTTTCGGTCTCAACTTTTTCTATGACATCATAGGATGAGTTATCCACCAGATGCTTCACGTTCATGTCATGAAGCTGATGGACGTAGTGATCGAAGCGGTGGTAGTGGTGGTGCAACTAGTGGGAGTGGGGGTGGGGGTGTTTATGGAACATTATGCAGTGCATTTGGAGGTAGCAACTGGTCAAGCAGTACTGCATCATATGAAGTTGGACATGATCCCATAATTTCCGTAGCTCCATCAAATACAAATGAACGGATGATTTCAAATTGGAAGAAATGGTCGTTAGGTTTGGATTATTTACTTCAAGATAGTGAAGGTGTAGCCCTTTTTAAATCTTATCTTCAATACGAAGGTTGTGCAAATCTTCTTGATTTTTGGTTTGCATGTCAAGGTTTCCGGAGTAAAGTTGATCCTTCTGATCACCGAAAAATAACTCAATTGATTAAAGCAATTTATCGTACGTACATTAGAGGGTCTAGCAATAGTCTTAATTCTCAACCTCTCCTTTATTTGGGGAAGCAACAGTCCACTCCTGTGCTACAAAACCGAAGTGAGCCTATTCGTCTTAGGTCAGAGACTCGGCATGCTATCACAGAAAGAATTTCACGCAAGCATACTTTAGACCAAACTGTATTCGATTCGGCTCAAGCAGAAGTTGAACACTTCTTACGAACAACAGCATATCCTGCTTTCCTTAAATCTGATATTTATGTCGATTTCCTACAAACAGCTCTGGAAGGTTCTATTCGTAAATTTCCTACGTGGGAACAAACGGTTTCTACCTCTTTATTCCCATATACTGGTGACAAACAGTTAAGTACAGCTACTAACCTCCCAGAATGCCCGTCAAACATGGCATTAGGAGGGAAAGTTCTTCCAACTTTAGATGAGGATCGTGAGTTGCAGTCCGAAGAACTATCACTATTGCACCCTTCAAGACAGGCTTGCAGACCTGCTTGTTGTCAAATACTTTCATTAACTGATACAGCTGCTGTTACACCTGATCATGGTCATTGTCAGCACTGTAAGAAATGTCAGTTATATAATCCATGTTTACCACTGGATTATTCTCAACCTATCCTAAGACCACCATCGTGTTATCAACAATCGCCAGTTGTGCCTACTAGTTCGGCAGCACCTCTAACTATGGAAAATTTGCAAATGACTCGATTTTATCGTACAGAGTTATCGCTACAACGTTCTTATTTTAATCCATCTCAAAATCCTTACGTTACGAGACCTAATCAAGAAGGTGAACCTGTTGGGCATGCACATGTATCACGTGCATACAGTTCAACTCCATGGCGTTTTCACAATCGCCCCAACTACGCTTACACTCACTGGGCAGATGCGATGTGGTAAGTAATTTATTTGTAGCGTTTTATCGCTTACTATAATTTATAAATAATTAGTAGCTCAATTTAGACGATTACATCACCTTAAATTTATGCGAACACTTTTGAAAAATTGAAGTCTATACATCCCCGTAACTATATATCTTTATAGCTTTTTGTTGTTTGTACTCTATACAACAAGACTTCTAGTACTTTTTTATACAGATTTTCTAACCGTTTTAGTCTACTAGTGTGCAAAAACTCATCGTGTAATTTTCTTTTTCACTCAGACCCCCCATACGGTAGAGCGGTGATTTTCTAGGTTTAATCACCTCACTGTCAGTCCTAGGGTCATAAGTCCAGAATTTACACGTGTTTAGAGAACATTTGTGATATAATAGATATATGTTGTAAACAATTTTAAGAACATAGTCAGAACAATTTGATTCACTCGTTTGCGTTTTTCGGACAGCACGTTCATTGACATCGATTTTTCGATGAAATTAAGTGGTTAGGTACAAATTTATGTGCACAGTGCAGTTATGCTATTTAGCTAAGCAGATTGAAGTAAATTGACTGAATTCGGACCCACTATCCGGTCATAAGGAGTTAAATGTTTCAACCTTTAACACACTTCTTGGTCTTTCACATTGTAGCTGCTTATTATTTAGCCAATAAATTGTATGCCCCTAAATACCCTGCTACGACCGAAAGTGGGAAGAGTTAGCTCTTCCTCTCGAGATGTTCTCACACGACCCGACTCACTGCCTTCTCGAGGCGAGGGTGTTGTCTACGAAATTGAGAGGGCGAAAAGCGAATGTTGGACGCTTTAATCGGGTTGGTGGACATAGAGGGTCCACCTAGGAAGGAGAGTTGGAAAACTCTGATTCCAAACCAATGGTGAATATGGGCTTCAGTATCCTGAAGGAACGTTCTAATGCTTTGTGGATTAGACCTTTCAGTCATAGGCTTGGGTTGTGGCCCCCTAAGAAAAGCAGCTACTTTGATCTGGGCATTTGGGCAGTATCCCAGCCCCCACCCAAATCGAGTGACGAAGTGTGGCATATATGTATTTGATGCCTCCTTGTACCAATGTTTATGTGTTTAAATATATAATGATAATAAATTGTATAATATGTCAAAATATTAATGTTTGTGCATAAAATCTGTAACCAATCGTTATGTTGTCCCTGAATTCTATCCTAATCCATAGTGTAATGATTGGGCTTTTACTATTTTAACCGACGCGGTTATGCAGTGTGTAATTACTGTAATTGTGAAGCTTCCAATAATGTATTTTATAATTAATGTAATTCACTTACCGAGTAGACGTTTTATGCTCTATACATTGAGCTATACTGTTTACATGAAGGCTGATAATGTTATCTGGTTGTCCAACTGAAGTAGGTTTTTAATAAATATATTCTTCTTTATATCCCATTGAGTAGAAAAATTGTATTTCTGACGTTTCGTGACTTAATATAAGCCATTTCTTCAAACATGTGACTTATTAGTTGGAAACAAATTGTATTAACCACTGTCACCATATCCCATAACTAATCAATGACTTAATCACACTTTGTCTGGAATTGTGCTACCTGATCAATTTGTTAACTGATATAATATTGGACCGGGTACTTATCTCTAAGTGGCCTATAATTCAGAATTCACCAATTTGATCTTGTATGGAGCGATGGCTTATTGGTGAGAGTATTTAACTTTCAAGCACCAAGTTTAAAGTTTGGATCCCTCTTCGTCTACTTGGATTTGAACAGTCAGATGGTATTACTAACTTTATACACATAAAATGTTGGCCCAGTACACGAATCTATGCTTAGTAATTGAATTATAGTACATACATTGCTTCAATTCGTAACATTTCGCAATAGTGTACTTAGATCGGAGAAAATTTATCATTTCATAGTTTGATAATGAAGATTAATCAAAATAAAAAGGGTTATTGTCATAATACGGTACTTTAAATTTAAATTCTTTTTTGTTTCTAGTCCACCTTCTATGGATCCACGTTTAGGGAATTTGCCCAGTCAACCGCCTAATCCATATCATATCTCCTATGCACCAGTTTCAGCACGTGACTCAGAACATCATAGTCTTTCAAGTGATGCACGAACTGATGATACTCATTCACATACGGATAGTAGCCAGTAAGTTTGAAAATTTGACATAATATATTTTATTATTATTATTATTATTATTATTAAAGTTTTGTTTTCATGTAAAAAGGAATAGTCTCAGTATAGGGTCTGAGTTAAGGGGAGTTGATTTTTACAGACAAAATGTATCTTTAAACTCTGTTTAGCTTACATCATTTTGAAGTAGCTGAATTACTCCACAGTAAACTTAAACAATATAGTTTAAAGTTTAGTAAATAAACCTATTTGCGAGGCACGTTATTCATATTTAATGGAAAGACTATCTAACTAATACTAAGGTCCCATGAAAAGGCTTGATTGCAGCCTAATAGAAACTGTCGTTTATCATACCTTTTCGTAATTTAATGTACACCAAATCTGTGAAATAATACAGTTATTAATGTAATTGACTTAGCAGTTATTTAACTGCTTCGGTTTGGGCACCCGGGCAGTATCACAGCCCTCATACATATCAAATGAGATTTGTGTGGCGCATATGTACTTGATGCCTCCTTGTACCAATATCTATGTGTTAAAATAATAATAATAATAAATAAACAGTTATTTACTCGTGTTTTAAACTATAATCTGTATATATACTATGCTAATGATCAAGCTTAATTTAATGTGGCGAAGTTCAAATCAGTTAAATAATAGTGAAGAGTTTTGCGCTTAAATGATCATAGAGTCAATTAAAGCTAGACCACCATGGAAAATCTGGAAGCACTGGACAGTGTTAATATCTAACACCGTTGGATGCCGGCTCAGTGGTCTAGAGGTTAAGCGTTCTCGCGCGAGACCGATAGGTCCTGAGTTCGAATCTCTCGGTGCGGGATCGTGGATGCACACTCTTGAGGAGTTCCACACTAGAACAGAACGGCTGTCCAGTGCTTCCAGGTTTTCCATGGTGGTCTAGCTTTAATTAAATCATTAATTCAACTATTAAGTGACTAAAATCTCCGCAAAACACCCTTCTAATAGATTTCTGTTTGTCAATAAGAAATTGTTTCAAACCAATCTATTGTATGCCTTATATCGTTCTAAAAGACTGAGGTGATTGAGACACGTATTACGTGTGTGAAACAGTTGCCTACTTTGATGCGCGATACTTACTGGTATATGACTGAAACGGAATAAAGCTAGGAGCGACTGAACAAAGATGTGGCATTAAACTGTGAAGTCATTGAGAGTTGGGCCTATTTGTACTGGTGTGCGCAAACCATTTTGTTGTGGTTCATGCGATTATGGTAACCAGTATTTGTAGACGTTGAGTGACATGATTCAAAATCGGTCACAATGGAACAGATACGTTTACTTTTTTGTCTTACCTTAAATTTTAGAACTCTATTAGATTTTTCTATTCCATTAGTCCATTCTTTTTTCTTAGAATCATATTGTTTATGGGTAATATTTTATAATACCACTGTTACTTCTTCTATTGCTCTGGGATTTGTATTGATAATTTCTTCTTACTGTGCTCATATAGACTAGCGACATGGACTGATGCACTTAAGTTCCATTGTCTATATCTGGCTTTCTAAATGAATCAATCAATATAATCTCATTTATATTAGTGAAGTAGACCATCTTGGATTAATTCACTATCTTAGCAATTTTTGAGAAAAAGCAATGAAGATACTAACAGATCTATATAATAAGGTTTCACCTTGTTTTTTTTTTCAAGGTATTCCCTGTGACTCACTTTGTTGAGTGTATAGAATTTTCATTATATGCTTACATAACTACTACGTTGCATATAGCTGATTAACTGATAACTACATATACACAGTAGAGGTGATAAAACGAGCACACACACTACATTTCATTTCAAAACATACCACATGTATACATACGTCTATTCTTCTTTCTGTTATCAATTTACACATACAATATTGTCGGATCAAGATGTAAGATCAAAGGTAATCCCGCTTTTATGAATGTAAATAGTATAGAAATAGCAATCACATGTTCGAGAAATTGATCGTTTGTAATGGAATGTTACTTTATGGTGTGTGCATATTCACTAGAGCGAGAGAAAGAGATTGCAAGGAAGCAAACCAGATTAACCAAAATACTTCTACTGATCGAATTAACAACATGATTGTGGTGACGGTCATAGTGTTAATCATAATAATGATGGTAGATAATAACTGGACTTGGATACGAATATATATATACCGTGGGTTCAAGTCAGCAGGGTAAATGTGATCATTGGTTGGAGACTTTGGGTAATATGAATCGGAATAGCTCACACTGATGCAAATGAATTTAGTCGTTATATTCTTGTAGAACTTGAGTTCCAGCATTATTCCACACATACCTTTCCACTTCGTCTTTTTTAACTGTACTTTCAATGCTTAATCTTCCTCGTCGTCACATTATTTCAATCTCTTTTAGCTATCCATCTTGTTAGACCACCGTTGAAAACCTGGAAGCACCAGACAACCGTTTCGCACTCTGAGGATTCCCATACTTGGATGAAACGAGTGTCTAATACTTTCAGGTTCTCAATAATGGTCTAATATTGATTGGTTCATGATCTCAATGCAACCAACATCGTCTACGTGGATACTTATCTGAAAGGTTCCCGCATATTTAAGGTTCTATTTCTTACTTTCTTTTTTGAGATTCAGTATATTATCTGGATTGTCTATACTAAGATAAGCTTCCCAATGTTCTTGTCAGTTTATTTTATTTTTCAAAAAATTATATCTTCTAGCGACGGTGCTTGTAATCGTTTACGTGCTCTTAATCATCGTTATCCAAGCCCATTCCAATCATCACGTTCTCATAATAACAATAATAATAGTAATAATAGTAAACGTCAAAATCAACTCTCCCATCATCATCATCATCACCATCATCAACGTCATCTATCTACCGGTCCACAAGGGAATAGTAGTGGTGTTGGTGAATTAATGGTGCAGTGTACATCTCCTAAATCATCATCATTTCCAACTTCTTTTCAAAGTCGTTTACAACAATCTAATCCATTTTGTCGAAGTCCGATTGGGATTGGTGGTGCTGGTGGTGATAGTCGTATCAATTATCCTTTGGAGACTTTTTCAACCAATACAAGTTGTCCAATAAGTACGGCTCCTATTACTACTAGTAATAATGGAAATAATCAAGGGATTGGAGAGAAAATTGCTCAACACTCAACAACAGATCCAATTATTAATAATAATAAATCACAACAGCAAAAACATCAACGTCGTCTAGCTAGACGTGGTATGAGTTCTCGTCCTTTCAGTGATAAAACAAAACTACATAATAATAACAATTATTGTACCGTTGGTAGTGCTGCCGCCGCCGCCGCCGCCCCTGTTGCTGGAAATCCCACCGGATTGAATGTTCCAGTTAAACCAAGTAATAAATCATCGACCAGTCGATCATATAGCATGGCTGAACATGATCCAAAAGCTTTTGCACAAATTTTATCAGAGAAACTACAACGTTTATTAAATAGTCAATTAGTTACAGAACGTCTTGATAATCTTATGATTGAAGTAGGTTAATACGTGTTATCGTTTAAAATATTTATGGAATTCATTAAAAATTACTTCCCGTTTTTTTTTATCGTAGTTGCTTTTTTTTTCTTCACTTTAATTCTGAAGTATTTGATAGTAGAGTAGTGGTTGATTAGTTATAGAGTCACATTCAATGCTTAAATATGAACTCTTATCCATCTATTTTGGTTTAAACAACCGTATTGGTATCTTTAACCTCGTGATGTTTAAGGTTTAACTTGAAATCAAATCTCTTACCTAGTGAATGACAGTTTCATGTTATTACAATATAATACTGATATTATTATGGTTAAACCGGATAGATGTAAATTGAAATCTTCAAGTCTGATTATGAAATTAATCTTTTTACATTTATTCATTATGTTGTTTTAAAGAAAGAAAAAAATGATTATACTACTGATTGGATGATGTTTGTGTAAGGAGTGATATAGTGTCTGGCTTATTCCCTTAGTACGAATTGAATTCTGTCGACTAAATTAGAATATGCCGAGAATAAACGATACTGTAACCTCAAAGAGAAACGTATATATTGATAGTAATTCAAATGATTTTGAATACCTATTAAGTAAGATCAGTCGTAATTACTAATGATTCAGAAGTCAAGATTCATTCGATTTTGTTGGAGTTTCGTTTGTTTTTGTTGGTCGTAGAGCCTTCATTGTTCTTCTGAACATCATCAGCAACAGCAAAAGAACTCGAAGTAGAAGTGAAGTATTAAAATTTCTTCCCATATGACTCATAGCTTATCCTATCAACCTCAATCTTGATGTGTTTTTATTGATCTTTAATTCGTCATTGTCTACTTCTTTATTTTGATTGTATTTTCCTTTGGTCTGATTGTTGGTCCTATATTTGTCCATCATTTTTCTGATTGCATCAACTTCGATATGTTTATTGATTGCTGATTGACTTGAGTTCCAAGCTTCTAAAATTATTCTATTTTATTTTATTATTAGAAGCTTTATTCAACATTATATTTTGGTACAACATAGAATTCTCAGCATAAAGTATTTCAACAAGTTTCCTTTTCTTATACCTTGATCGATTGTGACGATAAATTTTGAATGATGACCAGTTAGATGTTAGGAGTTCGGTAATCCACATTTGATGAATGTTCATTCGTTTCAATGCATATTGCCGGCCACCATGATGTCGCTGATTGTACCTTTTTGGATCACTTATAGCGAAAGGTTGTAAACTTTTCATAAACGCGCCTGAATAAATTGTGTGCACAATAGACATAGTGATGTGCTAAAACAAACTACAAAACAGATAACTTGATGAAGTATCTAGATCGGAGGAACAGGTAGCCCAGATATTCAAGCATTCCATTCATCCAAAATCTTAACATTTTCCCAGTTTAATGTTCGTTCAAAGTTGTCCACATGCATTGATATAGGTGAAAATATATATCATGGCATTTGACCACCAATTAATGTTCATGTAGGCAAAGATGAAGATGACTTCTGCTTTGTCCGATACGTCTTTCTCTATTGTAACAGTTTATTTTTTAGATGATTTTCAGTTCTACTTATTCCGTCATTTCGTTTTCATAAGATTGATTGAATTGATTTTACTGTTTTATGTGCTACATCTATTTCAAACGGCTTCAATAATCTTATTTTCTTTTATATATTGTAGGACGATCTGTTTGTTGATGAGTTGGGTTGATATTTTTTGAAGTTGCATGGGTAGCCGTTCTTTTGAAAAAATAGTCATTGGATATTTTTCTTCATTTTTCGGCGCTCCAGGTGTGCTGTAGTGTCTTCTTACCCTTTTGAATAAAGTTTGTACTCAGTCGATTTTGTATGATATTAGATTGCCGCTACTGTAGTTGAGAATTTGGTGTTTGTGGGTTGGCTTTCGATATACTTCAGTCTCCAGTTTTTTTTGTGTGTGTCGGTTCTGGTGATCAGTACATCCAAGGATGATAGCTTGCTTTTCGACTCTTCCATTGTGAATTTTATATAACCGAAAATGTTGTTGATTGAATTGCAGGTTTTTTCCAGCTCATCCTTTTTGATGATGACGAATATTTCGTCCGCATAACGAATCTACATTTTTGACTTGATCATTGGTAAAATCGAGGCTTTCAGTCTCTGCATTACTGCTTCCGCATTGGTGTTCCTTTCGTTTGTTCATAGATTTGATTGTTGGATTGAAAACATATTAGGCACAAACTGATGAGTTCTAGTGAACTTTGCCTTTGTGTACCTTTTGAGATTTATGTCGTTCATGAAAAGTAGGGATAAAGTTTCGTTTGTTAAGTTTAGTTCGATTGAAGTGAATAAGACCGTTACGTTTGAAGAATATCATCAGTTATTGGTTATTGATTTGAATCTCCTTTCTCTTATCCAAGAATTGTATGGGAGATTTATTGAAGTTATTGGATGAATCCACCAAATGTTTCAATATTCTTGAAACTTCTCTCGACAGATTGCATGTTGGCGTTCCCGTAGAGTAGTACAATTGGACACAGTGGGATGTTTGGTTTGTTTAGTTTCGGCCTACCGTAGAATCTAGGAAGCACTGGTCCACTGGATTTCATTTGCCATTGATCTTCTTTTGATGTTTTACCTGTTTTGACAAATTTGTTTGTTTGTCTAATCTTTTGATTAGATTTGTGTTCATTGATTCATTTTCACTTTGATCTTCAAATAGTTTCTCAGTTATCCTGATATATTCTTCTTTGTCCCATAATGACTATAGTGCGTCTTTTGTCCTCTGGAACTTTGACAATATCTTTTTTTCTTAATTTTGAGTTTCTTTAAACCTTCTCGTTCTTATGCTGTTAGTTGAGTGTTGCCGAGTTAGCGGTACTATGGTTTGCTTTATTTCCTGTTGAATTTCTTCATTTATTCCAAAAGTTTTGAATGATGACTCTAATCTTCATTTATATTATGTCATATAGACAATTATAGATACATATTTGACTGGTTTATTGATTATGAAAGTATCAATTTTGAATTTGTTTCAATGACATAGTGTTTCTGTATATACTTTCTCTTTTTAAATGAACAGACTAGTCCAAACATTCAAGAAAGTCAAGAACAAGTGAATGAAACTACCAAGTTAATGATTACAGATTATAATAATAACAAGTCTAATAAAGATGAATCATCTATTATTAGTAATACTTCAACTGTTATTACATTCACAACAACTAATTGTCCTATTATTACAAATACTACTAATATTAATGAAACTACTACTACTACTACTACTACTACTGACTTAACAAGTACTCAATCAAATTTCATTCATAATCAAATTACATCATCAACTGTTGCTGTTATTACTACTCCTTCAGTACTTCAACGTCCATGGGCTGATAAGTTATTAGCTGCTGCTCGTGTTCAACATGAAAATACACGTGAAAATGCTCAAGTTAGTTAGTTAATAGATTGTAGAAAATTTTGTTTTTGTTCTCCTTTTTGTTATTATTGATTTTAAATTAAGTTAATGTATTTTGATGGAGTTTTGTTCTCTGAGCTGGATGGTTTTCGTCGACGAAAACCATCCAGCTCAGAGAACAAAACTCCATCAAAATCATCCACCTGAGCTACAAATCTTCTCCATCATCTTAAGTTAATGTATTGATGAATGATAGCCTAAGAATAATGATTAAATCAGGTTATGTCATTAGTTGACAAATTTACTGATGATAATCGTTTAAAGTTGTAAAGAATCTGTTGAGAAAATCCAGAAAATTCCTCGAAAAATAAACCAAAAGAAGGATCTGAAAACTCTGAGAAACATCTTATCTAATCAACGTTCAACAAAAGTTTTGCCAGAAACGTCTAGAAAGTGAAAAGTTACATGTCATATTTCTCATTGAATGATTATCCACACTGCTACTATGTTTAGTAGCGTTCCAGAATTTTCCGGAAACCCATGGCCATCTAAAATATTATAAATACCCTAGATTTTCTATATATATGTATAAATGAATCTTGGAGTAAAGCGTTTCTTCCATATTTCGCTACTTTTCTCTCGTGTTCAGGTTGTTGTGCGGATTTAGCCTGGGGTTTACTAGAAAAGCTTAGAAAACCGAATCTAGCGTTCAGTTAGAAGTTTTATCAGATTTCTTCTAATTTTCGAACTCTTTCTGGTTGAGATCGATGTGGTGATAACAATCCATGGTGATTTGAGATGTTGAGTGACATAACTCAGAATTGATCATAGTGGTGAAGATACATTCACTGTTTATCTTTCTCTCAATTTTAAATTCCAGTAGTCATTCATATGTGCCATTTTCATTGCATATTCTCTAACCACATTCTTAATGTTTACTGTTTCTTACTATCACTACTCCTATTGCTGTTGTTTGAATTTCTTTGCTATTCATCTTTTTAATTCTATCTCATCTTGCTAATGTGATACACAATAACTTGGGCTAATGCACATTTGTATGAAAGGGTTTATGTTGATCGTAACTGATTGATAATGCATAGCTATACTATTTTTGATTGTCAGAAGGGGGTTTTCTGGAGATTTTAACAATTTCAATTGTTGAGATCATGAGTCAATTGAAGCTAGACCACTATGGAAAACCTAGAAGCATTGGATGGTCGTTTCGTCCTATTGATTAATTATCAACTACTATAGTAATTGAATTTTTTCCACTTTCTCTCTACCTCTTTCCAGTCTAAGAAACAAATGATTCCTTTTAACTATTCGTTCCAGTTAGTCATATACAGCGTAGAACCTGACGCATCTGCTTATTGGTTCAAAATAATGTACCGTCTTATTACACTGAGATCATGTTATTTCAGGATAAATTATTATAAGTAATAACAATATTGACAGTAATCATATTAAAAATAATAATTTCAAAAGATTGAATGTAGAAAAAGAAGAAAAACAACTAAGTATAAGGAGATTTCAAGACTCAAAATTGTAAACAAAGACAAGGAGTGATGAATACACTTGCATCATTACCGAATAATTCTGAGCCATATCACTCAAATTCTTTAATCATTAGTTATGATAGTCATATGGACTCCAACCAAGTAAGTAGTCTACACTGATTAAGATAGTTCAATCCAATTGTCAATCAATTAATATGACATCTTAGTGTTTGGCCATTGCTCTGCTCTACATCAAACATCATTCATCGTATTAGACGGTGTTTGGGTTCAGGTATACATCATCATAACACATATTCGTTTATATTTATCAATTAGGTTGTGAAAAAAAAAATTCATTCTTATTTCGGTTTATCTCTTTAGAGAATTTCAATTCAAGAAGATGTATTTTGTAAGTTTTTGTTTTCTTTCAAAATCAAAAAAAAAAAAAAATAAATTAGTTTTTAAGGGTAAAATGATAAACATTATGTATGTTTTCTGATGGAATTCTATTTACTTCTATATATTAAGAGTAGATTAATAGAAGAAGCATAGAAAAACCACCATATTTGTTTTAAGGGTGAGAGAAAAATCTTTTTTTTTATTGAACTTGATAATAATTATAATCAAAGAATGATTAAGATAGGTTCTGGGTTCGAATCTTACGAGGTGAGGTCGTGTATGGGCACTGTTGAGGAGTAGTCCCACAATAGGACGAAACGGCCGTCCAGTGCTTCCAGGTTTTCCATGGTGGTCTAGCTTCAATCGACTTATGATTCCAACCACTGAAATTAATAATAATTCTCATGCTTTTACGATATGACGAGAAAAGAAAACAGATATGCTTAAGTTATATTAGGGTCTATGTAATCGGACCTTCATTACAAGACACTAGTTATATAATGTAGTTCAATTATCAACTAACCCGCCTAAATTATCAAATATTGTACCAATGAAATGATGAATATGAGTAAACAGTCAAGAAGAATATTCAACGATTATCATTTCAGAATATGATCCTTTCATGTTCCATCACCGCTGAGATTGTTATGCTTCATTAGTTTGTTATAATTTATTTCAATCAGTTATTATATACAAATATTTATTTGGTATAATTTACATTCATATCTGTTTGATAAAAGATATCTTATGTAATTTAATGAATGTAAATATGTTAACTATTCCTTTCAAAATGTTCTGTATGTTGTTTAAAAGTAAATCGACTAACTACATAAGTGATCTATCTCATTAATACGAGTTAATGTTTACAAACTTAAAGATTAAATGAAGTAATACTGAGCTATATCGATTAGGTTTTAGTTATATATAATAAAAAAACAACATCCAGACACTCATGAAGTGAAGCATATCTGATGTTGTTATACTGTTGTAGTAGTAAAAGAAGTAGTAGTAGTAGTAATGATTGTCCACCAGAAATAAAGTAACAATCATTTATTTAACAGTGACTGATTTCTAGAAGTAATTGATTAAATTCTAGTGACTGATCATAACCGGTGATCTTTAACCATATCAGATATGAAACAGTTATCTATCAATGGGAATGGATAATCATCGTGTAATATTGTGAATTGATTGAAATTAAAGATGTATACCATTGGATTATCAGGTTAGTATTCCAAAAGTTAAGCATATTTTGCGAGACTTGAAGGTCCTCAGTTTGATCTGTTGTGTGTACTCACCGTTGAAGTATCATACTGAAATGAAATAACTATCTATTGCTTCCTATTTCTCATGGGTTGTGTAATTCAGTAATAAAGATTTGAAGAATTATGAGAGAAAACTTATGAAAATGCATAGTAATGATAATTAAATGAAGAATTATTTACAACTCCATTAGTGCATCTTATTATGTTTACGTTTCTGGTATTGATACGCTAATATGCTGTACACATGCTTAAACCAGCTACTTAAGTGTGAAGGACGTTTTATTGGATAAACCGAATCCAGGGGTATCTGTATACTCATTGATATATATGTACATATGTCTTTTGGAAATCCGAGCTACATGTTCAACTAATGTCGCGTATCTTACTTTTTAGATAAAAAAAGCCAAGCCTTGTCCGATAGTGTGCTATTATCGACCAGTTGATGTCTGATTGCTCCCATTGTATCATATCTATTGTCTACATTACAATATAGTGTGTATAAATGTAGCTTTTTAAGGCTCGATGATCTTTCACGCTCTTTAGTGTTAAAGTAAAAGATTCTTGCAAGTTGTTATATCTTTTTACGCCATTAACTATGCTACTATTGTATTTTTCCACACAATCGATAAACCCTGGGAATTCTTACTTTCCCAAGTTTCTAAATAGGATAATAGAAGAATGCCAACTACTTATTATTATCATCATAATTTACGAGTCACCTGATAACATAAGTAACGGTAATTATAGCTCACAACACTTAGCAAAATCCCTTTAATGAATATTAAACAAATTAAATCACACAATGACAGGAGAGAGTGAGAGAGAGACAGCTCGAATATCATTTGTTAAGATGGTGGAGAAGATTTGTAGCTCAGATAGATGATTTTGATGGAGTTTTTTTCTCTGAACTGGATGGTTTGATCGTCCTGTACAGGACAAGCTGTGAACCACATATAGAGAAATTTGAACACTTCACTCCTATGTGGAGTTTGTGCTGATGACGTCGTTCACAAGAACGATGAAAGCTCCACGATCAAACCATCCAGCTCAGAGAAAAAAACTCCATCAAAATCATTTGTTAAATATAAACTAGGAGAAACATTATATCGGTCATAAATGACTAGTCTCTTCGTCCTTAAAATTTTGGTAGTTCGAAGGAGAAAAATCCTTTCCTTCGAATTGTACTGAAGACTATGTTTTATTAGTGTTATCACCTAAAGATATTAGTGTTTGCATACTCCGAATCTATGCAAAAATTTTCGGATAAGAGATCACTTTCTAAATAGTTCAAATGAAGCATGTCAATTTTATAATTCAGTTAAGAATTGTTAAAATGACAAACACTAGTACTTCATTATACTTTCACAATCTAATCAATTATATTAGAGAGTAGAAGATATAGACTCTCATCATCTTGATGTACACTTTTCAATGATGAACATTTTGATAAAATGACAGATTGACTTATGTAGTCACTGTAAACGACTGTCTGTTCAAACTTTTAGTTCAAACCTTCATTATATGTGTATGTTTCCCAACAAGTTTCCCCGTTTTACAATTGTTTTTATTGATTAGTTCTGCCTAGCAACTGCATATCCGTACATATCACACATGTTTTGTTTTTTTTCTTGCGAAACTCAAGAATTGCCACTACGTTGGTTCGTATATCTTCCACCTCCTCCTTTGTTAATTCGAGAAACGAGCAGTAATTGCTATAGAATTCTTACATGAAATTTACCTGGCAATGTAAAGCGTTGTCATGAAAGTTGCAGTCGTCCAATTACAAATCGCTGAAATGATAGATCCACATAATTGGCCAAGAACTGGCTTTATTTTGCAAGGTTTAATTTTCCATGGGCCAGATAGACATATATAAACTTGTGTATATAGGTATTTCTTGATTCGGTTAGCCAAATAACTCCCGTGCTCACTCTGACTTCCTTAGTGACTTCAAGGACTGATGCCACGTTTTGGTTTGGCCGCCCCTAACCTTCTTCCAACCATACCCAACACTGGTTAGCATTGCACGTCATGGTATTCGGTGTTCAGTCATACGCAGCACGTGGTCCAACCATCTCACTCGATGAAGATTTACAACCTCATCAACTGATCTACCACCATTCCCTAATACCTCGGTGTCTGACCTCACTATTACTTACCCGGTTATCCCAGCAAATACAAGCAATACTTCTAATACATCTATGACCAAATACTAGTGGCTAACATATATCTTCTAGTCTTAATGGCCATGTTTCTCAGCCGTAAATTAAAACAGAACGGACTGCCGTGCAGTATACTCGTCCTTTTATTGATAGATGGATGTCTCGCCTTCGCCATGAGTGACGTAAGTTGGCAAAAGCCAAGCGAGCTTACGGATCCGTGCAGAGATTTTGTCAGACACCAACCTATTAAGGCTGATCAGACTTCCAAGATAAGTGAAGTTGTCGATGCGCTCGACTACTTCACTCCCTGTCCTTAGCTCAGTTGTTGACGCATGCCAGTCCTGAAGCTACAACTTGCATTTAGAGGGGAGAAATGCATCTCAGACATTCTGGCATTGTTACTCAGTGTTACCAAAACACTGCATTTTATCAGCGTCTTCACGAAACAAGACTCTGTCATCTGCTTATATATGCTTATAAAATAGAAATCTTATTGATATATTACTTATTTTGTATTGAGACTTCTTTACTGTTATCAATCGTATGGTATTGAATAATAATACAACAGAAATGGTAAAATATTCGAGAAATTTTTCACTTGGAAAATTAAAAAAAACATTCCATACCTTAAAAGAGCATCAAGTGATTAAGTTGTATTTCTGGGTGGTTTTATTCAATTAGTGAGAGTGAGGGTGAAAGAGATATGCCAAATATAGGTAATTCACAGGTAGTTAGCACAATTCTGCTCAGTAAATAAATCACATAAATAACAATAATTTAATGTATGCATGAAAGTGAAAGTGAGATTTGTCCTGGATAATAAAAGATTTGTATGCAAAAATGGATAGTGGCTGGTAATGGAATCCAGGACGCATGTTTCGTTCTATTTGGGATTCGTCAGCTGAATGTACCTGCAACTCAGAGCTGTTGTTCATTCTGGGACTCGAGCTCAGTACCGTTCGCTTCAGACGCCATCGTGTTATCCACTTAGCTACTGAGTCCTGTTAGCCACTTGCTTGTGCAATGGAGTGAAGTTACATTCACTTGGTGTTGTTTACTTGTATCTTCCCATCATTATTTAGGACTGCAATTGATCAGTCTCATATTAGCATATGTGCATCCTGTGCGTATTGCCTCGATATATACTGAGTTCAAGTCCCAGAGTGAACATCAACTCTGAGGTGCAAGTACATCCAGCTGACGAGTCCCAAATAGTACGAAGTGGCACGCGTTCTGGATTCCACTGCTAACCACTATCCATCTTTACATATAATGCTTGTGAATTGAAGCTATATCGAGACAATCCGCACAGGATGCATATATGCCAATAAGAGAGTGATCAGTTACAGTCCTAAACATCAACGGGAAGATTCAAACCAAGAATACCAAGTGAACAAAAGATTTGTATTTGTATTGATTCACATGGCCATTTTAAAAGTACATTACAATTAAGTATACAAAATTATAATTAAGATTATCATCTCTTTTTTGAATTCATTTATTTATATCTTTCAATTGGGTTTTGGTTAAAATCTATGAGGATTGATAATTCTTCAACGATCTAGCTTATTGTTGATTTGACTGAGAAACTTAATAAAATACCAACTAGCATGCAACAATTCAGGTGTTATTATGAGTAGTTATCTTTATGGAAAAGGACTAACAAGTAGTGAAAGCCAAACAACTTCAGGTTTCCTTGACAACAGCTCCCAAGAATTTAATAGTTTAGTCTTTCAAACCTATAAAAAGATTTCAAAAGTTTTCTACAGTGCTCTAGAAAAAATAATGAACTGTGTCATAGGTAATTACTGACCCTTTTTTTTTCACCGAATTTAGTATGTTTCAGGAGTCGCCTACAATATCAAGGCTACGTATTCTTCTATAAATATCTTAGTTTTCTGTATCTAAACTAATTTTGACTGTAAAATTTCTTGTCTTACTTCCCGTTTTTTGTTTTCTCTTCAAAGTTCTAGTATGATACATCTGAAGAATATTTTCATCAAAGGTTGGTTTTGTCTGTAGAAATCTCAAATAAACAAAGTTTTATACTGTCTTTAAAGAGAAATTATTTATTTGAACATATAAATATCGGTACAAAGGGGCACCGAATAGATATACGCCACACAAGTCACTTGATTTATGTATGGTCTATGATACTGCCCGGGTGCTCAAACTGAAACAGTTGGTTTTCTTAGAGAGCCACACCCAGAGTCTTCGACCTAAAGATCTAACTCATAAGGCAGTGGAAGAATATTTGGAGATGAAGTCCTACGGTAGCCGATGACCAACAATTGGTTCATACACGATTTGTTCCCTAAGGATCCTGGAAACCATTTCGTAAACAAAGGTAGTAAATAGGACTTTCCTGACAGTGACTGTATAAGCTTGGGCATGTGGCAGTATTTCGAGAGAGGGAGAGGAAGAGTTGACTCTCTCCACCCTCGGCCGTACCAGGACACATTGTCATTGTTATTTTTCAAAGTCAACTTATATCTTTACCAAATTACTTCAACAAATCTAAATTCTTCTGTTTTATTATGTCAGGATTTGAAGTGTAACAACTATAATCACCGAAACACGTATTTATGTTATAATCTATATTATGATAATCAATGTCAATATGTTGTGAGATAGATTATATATTCATTTGATCTATTTATTTACATTCTAAATAGGAAAGTTTTTTTGTTTATTTTTCTCTCTATTATGTACTCATATTGATTTAATTGTTGTTCTGTCAACTTTAACTCCTCCTGGAGTCCCTCCGGGGGCTACTGCCAGTCAACTTCAACAAAGATCCATGATTGATCATTTTCTATTATAAAAAAGTATTTATGAATTTATAAGTCAACATTTTTCATTACTGTAATGATAATTATTTTTTTTGGAATATAATTTTAGGCTATTCTTGAAGATCATTGTTCAAGAATATGGGCTGCATCAGCTGATCGTACTCCAAGTAGTGGAGGAGGAGGAGGAGGGAGTGGCGATGGAAGTAGAGGAGGTGGTCATCTTCGTGATGTTGATGTTGATGATGATGGTGATAACAACGTTACTAATGATATTGATCATCGTGGAATTGGTATAGATCGTGGTATGCATTCAACTAGGCCTCATGATACTACTACACTAGATGATAACTCATCTCAACGAAATATTTCATTAGATATAAATGAACGTTCATTTATATCTCCAATTATCACAAATTATAATCATGAATCATATTGTCCATCTACTTCTTTAAATTATAATAGACCATATATTAGTAGTAATAATGTTGTTATCGGTGATGTCAATTGGTCACATCCAACTAATAATGATATAACAAAATCACAACAAACACATAATCATAAATCATCTTCTTATTCTATAGTTGAAAATAATTGGATTAATGATGAAAATACACAACTTATGCCTAATAATAATTCTATAAATTCATATAATAAATCTTCCAGGTAAGTAAGTAGTGATCCCTTCATCATCTTTAAAAGACTAATCTATAGACGAAGAATAAATTCTTTTCAGATTCTACCATTCAATATATCCATATTAATAATCCCAAATGATGATCAGATTGAGGACACTGGGGTAGCCGATCATGGTCAGTGAGTTGTTGATGAATTCAAGCTCCTGACTTAGAGTGTCTACTGTGCAGATCTTTTTAGCTCTGCTAGTGAGACATCTAACCAAATTTCTCTTGTACCGGATAGGTGTAAAACTGCAGAAGTGAGAAACCTTTATACATGAAACTACAATTCAACGGGGATGTGACCAGTGATACTTTGAAATATAGGTTAACAAAAGTAATCACCATGACATTCTACGCAGCCAATCTTGCGTTGGCTTTCTCTTATCGACCAGTGATGTCTACGCAAACGAAGGATAAGTTACCTGAGTTGGCCTCCTCAGTGTGCATTTACAAATTCCGCTGCTCCTGTAGAGATAGCTATATCGGGCGTACTACCAGGCAACTTAACCAACATATGAGTGAACATCTACCAGCGTGGTGTATAAAGCGCCAAATAAAATTATTCATATTGATATGATTCATATAGAATGTTAACTTGAATCTGCATATATATAAAGTGAAAATGATCCGAATAAATATGAGTCAAATAGGGTGAGAAGGCTATATTGTGTGAAAAATTAGTAAGGAGAGATGAATGCGAAGTGAATAACTCATGTATTGGGGAGATTCATAATGATGTGTTAACCAATAGTAATAATATTAATGCAAAGATTTGTGAATAAAGATAACAGAGACAATTACAATTGACTGTGAAAGGTCGTAAGTACAATAGTCTAATACGGTCATTCAATAGCTAAGATTACTTCAATAGTTGAGATCATGAGTCAATTAAAGCTAGACCACCATGGAAAAGCTGGAAGCACTGGATGGCTATTTCGTCCTGTTGTGGGACTCCTCAGCAGTACACATCCTCTCGGGGATCGAACCCAGGACCTACTGGTCTCGCACGCGAGCACCTAACCACTGAGCCGGCATCTAACGGTGTTAATGTCTAACTTCAATTAATCCACCAGTCATCAATAAGTTACTATTTCACAACTGACCCGGTTGAACTCCACTGTTCACTGCTTCTCACTAGAACTCCAGGATTTACTAAAATTATTATTGATTACTTGGCCTTAATGTTAGCCAGTAGAGGAGGACTGGTTGAAGATATTTCTTCTGTACGTATAGCTCCAGTTTCTTCATCCAAATGACTACTACTTTAACCGTTTATTTTTTCTCTTTATTCTTGTTGATATAATTCATTTATGTTAGTAATATGGTTAAGTTTTCATTATTTTAACAAGCTTTATATAGATATTTGTTCTTCTCCTTCCTCTTCTTCTTCTTCTTCTTCTCCTTATTATTGATATTATTATTATTATTATCCTGAAAGATAATTTAATTTTCATATACATAATTCTCTTTATCATTTTGAAAAGAGCAAGAACTGAAAGATTCTAACAGAATAGCATGAATTCATTTTCATTTTGTTTGGTTCTCGTCAGCTGTTTACAACCTGTGATATTTAGAAATCCTAATTACATAATGGGTTTCAATGACTTACATGAAAGAGTTTGGTTGGAAGTTATATTGAAGACATATTCGTATAGGATAGCAAGGGTGTAAATACATTGAATATTGTAAATATATACCTTATGTGATGAAAGAACATTGTGACAACAGTTCAAATGGATAGAAACAAGTAAACATTGATAGGAATAAAATGAATAGAGTTCAGTTGATAAAATAAGATTAATAATTTGGAAGATAGTTGAAATAAAACTCAATGGTGTGATAAATGCAAGAAAGAGTTTAAACAAAAAGATATATTTAGATACAGTGAAGGAATATTAGTCACCAAGGCAAGGAAAGATTAATAACCATCTCCTTTTGAACACATAAACATCCTTGTTAACCAATATACCACTTCTTGAAACTATTGATATAATTTGTCAGAATTATGATCTCCTACCTTTACCAGCCACGGAATCCAAAAAACTACTATGAATGTGCACAACAGACGTTCAATTCCAGTTTAATAACACCATATATCGTCAAATCGACAGCGTAGCAATGGGAAGTCAACTAGGTCTAATTCTGGCAGATATTTTTATACGGTATGTTGAAAACATGGTGCTTAAACAGGTGATTAGCGAAACGACGGAATATTCCAGATATGTTGATGACACACTTATTGTCTGTAACAATAAGCAGCATGCAATCCACCTGCTAAAACTCTTCAATAACACTCATCCTAACATACAATTTACTATGGGACACGAACAAAAAAACATGTTCCACTTTCTTGATGTTGCTATAAAACGTAGGAAAGACGAAACAGTCCGACGTTCGCATTAGTTAAAACACTATTTTATAGGGCAGAAAGGGTATGTACTACTGGCAAACTGAAAGAAGAATTGATAAACGTGGAAAAATGCCTACGAGACAACTTTTACCCACAAAAGTTTATTGACAAATATAAAAAGCGTAAAGAAAACAATACTGAAGTAATTACGGTCAATAAAAAACCAGTCAGAGAAGTCCTACTCACTGCCTTTGTTTACGAAATTCATAGGACAAAAAGCGAATGTCCGGCGCTTTTACCTGGTTGGTGGATACGCATAGTTCACCTAGGGGAGTTGCGAAACCCTGATTTCAGGCCAATCGTGTACATGGGCTCCAGGATCCTGAGTGAGCAAATCGTGTATGAACCAATTGTCGGTCATCGGCTACCGTAGGACTTCATCTCCAAATACTGTTCCACTGCCTTATGAGTTAGATCTTTAGGTCGAAGACTCTGGGTGTGGCTCTCTAAGAAAACCAGCTGTTTCAGTTTGGGCACTCGGGCAGTATCATAGCCCATACATAAATCAAGTGACTTGTATGGCGCATATATATTCGGTGCCCGTTTGTACCAATATTTATGTGTTGAAATAAGTAAATAAAGTGAATTCACTCTTCTTAAGGCCTATTCTCTGTATGTTAACATCTTTACTATCACTACTTACATTACTACTGTTTCCACTACTTTAGTTATTCATATTTATTATTTCATGTATTTATTTCCAATATGGTGATGTGTCAACTTGAAGAGATGTATTTTTGTGTCCATGGTCTACATTACTGATCATTGATTGATTTCACGTTCTGATTAGTTCGTGATTTGTCTGTTCTCTTTTATTTTAATCCTATTGTGTACCATCGAACAGTCGACTCATTAACAGTCAATATATTATTAGTATTATTATTGTTATTATTGTTAGATGTTGATATATACTCGTGGTTATACGTTGTTAGCATTGATAGCAGTAGTTGTAGAACTAAATTATTTGATAATAATATTGTATGGAACATTGAAACTTCCGTTGATATATTCACTGTGATTGATAGATAAGTCCTGGGTTCGAATCTCAACGAAGCGGGATCGTGGATATACACTGCTGAGGAATCTCACAATAATAAGACGAAACAACCATCCAGTGCTTCCAGATTTTCCATGATCATCTCACTTCAATTGATTCATCAATTCAACAATTAAAATACTCACTTTTTCTTTTTAACTTGACAATAGTTTCTTTTTGAAATAAACTATCCTAATTTTGTCAATATGTGTGCATGTCTGGATATACACATATAGAATCATTCGTGTGCGTATATATATATATATATATATATATATATATATATATATATATATATATATACATATGCAACTATAAAGGAATTTATCAGTTGTCATTATTCTTCCTGTGTATCGTTGATGCTGACAATACTGATAGAGTTTCTCTTGTTTCTCGTTAAGATAATGATTCTTTAATGATAATTGGGATATTAGTAGTAGTAGTAGTAGTAGTAGTAGTAGTAGTAGTAGTAGTAGTAGTAGTAGTAGTAGTACTTTTGTGAAGTTATTTATTCTAGTCTCGCTCTCTCTCTCTCTATACTTGTTGCTTGTCATTGTCGTTATCCTGTTTTGATTGATTAGTTATGTTCTAGTTATAAGAGGAATAACTAAGTAGTATTATTCATCATGTGTTGTTAGTTCATTGCATTCATCCATATTATCTCTCTCTTTATCCCTCTCTACTTCATTGATTGTTAAGAGTATACTGACCACATGTGTACATATTCTGTTACTCTTTATGATTTATTTCATTGTCTATTAATAAATCGAGGTTATAATATTAAGATTAGAGATAATGAAAGAGAAAGAGAAAGTGAGAGATGATCAATGAAATGAGACAATAGTTAGTTCTGATTGAATATTTGATATCTATTTGTGTGTATATGTGTATAATTTAGACAGTATCATGATTTTTTCTTTTAATGATTTGTGGTTGTTATAATAATGACAAACTATAGTTGATTAGTTAGTTAGTTAGTTAGTTACTTGATTGTTTGTCGCTGTCCATTTTGAACATTAAAAAAAAAGAAGAAATCTGAAAATAAGCCCTAGTGATAAATAAAGGAGAAATAATGAATCACTATGATTGTTTCGTTTTTCTCTCTATGCTACTTCTTTATATTCTAAAAAACAATAGTGTACATCTATCATAGGTATGTATGTATGTGAAATGATTGACAGAAAGCTAAACAAAACTAACTACATATTACATGATATTCAAATTCGAGTTACATTTATAATTGTAAAAGAGCTCATCTCAGTCAGTCAGTCAGTCAGTAACAACGTAGAACTTCGTACGTACGTACAGTTCGGGTTGCCATATCACATTAGCACAGAGATACAGTTGTCGATTCAAATCTCGTAGTGGTAGAGGTAGCAAGAGTTCATCTAACTATCCAGAGACATGAATTAGAGTAAATGAGACCCTGATTCGAATCTTTCATTTATTGGTTGAATATTAAACACTTTAATCACTAAGTTATCGATTCACTTTTCTTTTCTTTTTTTTTGTGATTATATTACAATAGACTTTTAACTTTTGATTAGTTTATATGTTCGAACCCATATATTTTTCAAATGACAAACTCATAGACTGTAAAATATAAATAATCATATTTGAATATAAGTAAAAGTATTTACTTGGTATCTACATGAGCTACTTTATTCCTTACTTTACTTTTAATTACTTATGCCTGTTACTCCTAATGGAGCATAGGCCACCGACCAGCATTCTCCAATCCCACTCTGTTCTGGGACATCCTTTCCAGTTCATTTTTCTCATGTCGGTCTCTATTTCTCGGCATAATATGTTCTTTGGTCTTCCTCTCCTCCCATTGACCCTGAGGATTCCAAGTGAGGGATTGCCTCGTGACACAGTTGGGTGCTTTCCTCAATGTGTATCCTATCTACTTCCAGTGCTCCCTCTGTTGGGATCTGGTTTGTTCTCTCTCACAATAGGTTGTTGCTAATAGTGTCTGACCAACGGATCCGAAGTATTTTGCGTAGACAACTGTTAATAAACAATTGTATCTTCTGGATGATGGCTTTCGTAGTTCTTCAGGTTTTCGCCCCATACAGTAGAACTGTTCTGACATTTGTATTGAAAATTTTGACCTTGGTGTTGGTTGACAGAGTTGTTTTGAGTTCCAGATGTTCTTCAGTTATAAATATTGTATTTTACATATCAACAGTCGTGACATAATTGACAACATACAAAATAATTTAATGGGGTTTATTGAGAATAAAAGCATTCTATACAGAGTCCCGGTTACCTAGTTTCACAGTTTAAGATTTTATCACTGAGATATTCAAATGATGCGGCTTTTGATCTCAAAAAGAGAGTCGATTTCCTCAGAATTGCATAGACGTCATCCTGACGAATACCGACTAGCACGAAACTGATGTCCACAGTATCCTGTCGACTTTTAGTGCCATCCATTTAACAATAAATCAGGAAATTTGGACTCAAGACTTATCGATCGCTTCTCCGACTTATTTAAATCAATTTTTTTTCAGTGTTTACAAATAAAGTGTCGCAATTCATATTTATCTCTTTTGTTTTATTCTTGCAGTACAATCGATCCATCAACTACAAAATCATTACCAGTAATCGTTCCACCATGGTTCGCATCATTTTCTCAATCGAAATATTCTCACAAGACATCAGATATTCAATTACATACACATTATACAGAGCATTTAGTCGATTCGATTAATACCACTAATGCTGCAATATCTATGCATGATACAGATCGAACAGAAAATAGTCCAGTTAATATTGGTAGTAGTAGTAGTAGTACCACTACTACTACTACCAGTACAACGACTACAGCTTCTACTACAACTAGCAGTACTAATGATCATCATCATCAAGGTTCTGTTACAACTAACACCACATCTCAATCAACTCACTCTTCATCAACATCAGCTGTTTCTGGGACGTCGAATTCCACACCGGGAAGTTCCGGTGTAGGTGTATGTACCTCGTCCAATTCACTTGTTATAGGCTATTATATGGGTGATGATCCGGTACCCTATAGAAGTTTATGGCCATCATCAGAGATTACACTTGGTCAATTTAAACAATTAATTCCAAAGAAAAAAGGTTTATTCCGGTAAGTGATATCGTGTATATATATATTGATGTTATTCTAAGGTGATTCTTTAAATGTTACATGGTTACAGTTAAGTGAGAGAAAAACTTTCATCCCTGTATTCGATACTATTTTGTACAAGGTGCATCAGTTTCATCAAGATTACAGGTACACCTTGGTGACAAATCCCATCTAGCTGGAAATTTTAGATTTAGTAGAGTTCCCAGTCAACTACCTCGAATCACCCGAGATGTCAGCACAGGTAATTGTGTAGGTAATACCGAATCGCTTAGACTAATGCGATCATATCACAACTTAATCAATTAAATCCATTCAATACTAAAGGAGTAGATAAACATGTTGGAGATGCTAGACCCTGAGAAATCACTTGGTAAACTTCCTATTCTTGTAATCTAATCGTGGAAGTTCGAATTTCTCCTTTTCGCACCTAAAAGCGTTCATCATTACCTTCAGTTTGTATTTCTCTCCGGGAAGGAACTTAAACTCCATTAATTCGTTTTCGATTTTAACACGGTATTTTATGAGACTTTTCAAAGACATTTTTGTATGGTATATATTACATATGAGTTTAGTGCTTGTTGTTCCACCTTCTGGGCTGCTTGTTGAACCGTAGATTTGTACGTCTGAATTTAGTCTTCTTCCTTTATTTAGTAGGGCCATAGCACAGAGGACTAGTTTAGTTTCATTCTGTTTTTGCTTTGCTTATTTTCGTTTCCGTTCACCGATCCAAGGTAATATCATAATACTGTGAACATAGCAAAACATGACACTGATCACACTACTCAGTGATTAATTACTTGTAAACGATTCAAAGTAATGTCAAATAGTTTTGTCTCACTTTAATGGTGGTCATTTTCTAGTTAGAATAAACTCTGTACTCGTTCGCAATTTTGATCTTGAACCTGGAAACCAACCAAAATGTAGCGGGAAGTTATTATTCACATCATTGTAATCAATATGATAGAGGGTTTGTTTCGTTTTCTATCATTTTTGTTGGCTTACATAAAAAAATGTAAAATCTTCTATGACGATAATATCACTTTATCATGCTATGGATATATGTCCGGTATAGGGTAGTCAGTCATGTGGCCATGGTTGTATGCGCGTGACCATCTGAAAGCTGACTCTCCCCACTCTGGGTCGTATCAGGGTATTTGAAGGCATATGATAAATAACTGTTAAAGTGTTTATTCATCTTTCTCATTGTCTACCCGTATTCACATCAAAGTTTATTTTTTTCTTTTTCTTTTTAAAAAAAACAAAAACAGATACTTTTTTAAGAAAGCATCTGATGAATTCGATTCCGGTGTAGTCCATCAAGAGATCACCAATGATGATACTGTTCTACCTTTATGGGAAGGTAAAATTGTCGCCAAAGTTGAACGAATTGATTAATAGTTGAAAATAGAAGGCGTTATTGTTAGGAAGTATACAAAAATCATTTATTTCATTGGATTTTTTTTTCTAAGGGTATAATAATTATGAAATTTGTTTATTCTCTTTGATTTTCATTATGTTTGAGAGTGATGTGGCATATAACCACCTAGTTGTATCGCTTAACTATTCTCTTTCTTTCTTTCTTTCTTTCCCTCTTTGATATGGCATTACACAAATCATTACATTATTGAAATGTAAAAATAAGCGCCTCAATCTATTGTATCACAATTTTTCTACTCGATCACTTTCATTCTATCCGTATATGACGCTACTATCTTCTTCAATATCCGGTTATTATCATTTTCAATTTATTCTTAATAATAATAATAATAATGGTGATGTGATTGTGGTCATTTGTGCCTTCTTATCATCATTATTTTGGTTGTTTTTAAGTTTTATTATGTATGTATGTATGTATGTATATGTGTGAGTGTGTGTGTGTGTACGTGTAGGTGTATATGCAGTACACTTCAGTCAATCGTACATAATCGCGCGTGCCCATCCCGATCAATAACACTTTTTTTTCCATGGGTTAAACAGGGTATATTATTATTATAGTTTCTATGTTTTTTCTCTCTCCTATTTTGTTTTTTTTCCTTTTTTTAAAAAAATTCTTATATCGTAAAAAACAATTTTCGATTTGTCCATTTTTCAAAAAAAACAAAAAAAAACACATTTATATATATCCCAGTTGTATTCTATAGGGTGGGGTGTAGGGGCGTTAACAACGATAATCACTGAGAGAGAGAGAGAGAGGAGGTCATTGTAAATGTTTATTTTATGTAATTGTTACCTCTTGTTCATTTCTCATTAGATCTTATTTTACATTAAACATATGCTACTACTACTACTACTAATAGTAATAATAATTGATATGATTTAATTGTTGCCTTTCAATTCTTGCCCATCTCCATTTGACATACATGACAATTATGATTAACACTATTTAATCACTAATGTTACTATTAGTATGTTTCCTTAAAAAAAATTTCCCCCCCCTGGCTTTTACAATCAATCTTGATAGTTTTTTTTATTTTTTAAACTGACTTCTATGATTATCATTGATAAGGTCAATTCAATCGTCATTCTTTATTGATTAGTTGAAGAGGGTAGGGAGGGGGGGTGGCGCCGTATGAACGCACATAATCTGTTTACAAAAATCAGTGGAGTATCTATTTGAATGGTGAAAGAGCAAAAAAAAAGATTATTTCTTTTTGGTTGGTTTATTATTTTTTTGTTAAATAAAATGTTTCCTTTTGAGTAGTGAGTAAACTGCCTATGTGTACACGTGTATGCGCGTTTATGTGTAGTTGATGGAAAGTTGGAGACAAAAGGGGCATCATGCAACAAGTACGCACACATCCCCACACATTATAGATGATAAAGTAAATAATAATAATAATAAATATGTTTTCTACTCATATTTCCTCTTCTGATATGAATTTTATTGTTTTGTTGAATGAACGAATGAATGGTCTATAAATGGCATTATGTTTCTATAGTTTATTGTGCTTTATAACATCATTGCAGTACGTGTGTGTTGTAGTTTGTAATGTTGATCTATTTCTATTAGATAAAATAAATTTGGTGTTGTTGTTGTCATCATCATCATCATAGGTGATTTGAACAGTTTGTTTATTTCAATTTCATAATAAGAATAAAATGACCATGTACTTTTATTTCAATCTTTACTATTCATCTCAACGATACACAAGACATGCATATTAATCAAAAGAAGAAGAAGAAGACATGTACTGCATAACAGTGCAGATTGTTTCTTTCCTTTTCTCTCGCTCTCTCTCCCTTTCACTCACTAATTATAACGAGTTTATATAGTGGTGTTGTGAAAATTGTTGAGATTTTTTATCATTATTTCACGTAGTACCAGTCGAATTGGAGATCTAATTCACGAAAAATTGTTATAATTTGTGCCATGTGTCTTATTCATATTTAATGTAATGATACTGCCAATTATCGACTGGGTCAATGTTGCATAAAACCATTTATGAATAGTCTAGAGATTTTATCGGTGTTGCTTCCTGTCTGTCTGTTGAGTGCAGAGCACATCAATCTCAGCCTTTGTGATATGAATCTTATATTTCATAAACATACTGGGTTCATATACACCAGCCGCCAAACAGATCACATTGTTTTAGATTGAGATTAAGTGATTAAGCGTTCGTGCGCGAGACCGAAGGCCCTGGGTTCGAATCCCGCGAGCGGGATCGTGGATGCGCACTGCTGAGAAGTCCCACAATAGGACGAAACGGCCGTCCAGTGCTTCCAGGTTTTCAATTGTGTTGGTCTAACATCAATCGGTTCATGATATCAATCAAAAACTTAATAATCTCCACAACCCTTATACTAGAGATCATAAAATAAAAGATAACGCAAATAATCAACATTTTAATGTTTATTGATCCTCGAACCTCTTTTTAACCGAATAATCAATTAAAAGATGATGATTGGCAAGGAGATTAATTCTTCATTGTAACTAATTTAATTATATAATGATATATTGGAAATAATACCAGACCACACACAAAGGGTAACAAATATGAAATACAATTATACCGTAACTAGTATTAGAAGGTAGAGTAAACAACATACCATTAAAGAATGGTGAAGTATCTAAAAGTTAGTAAGTCTATCATAAGTTTACAATAAGTGGAACATAGAAATCTAACAATAAATTTATTTACTAATTATACAATAAAGATATAAATCATCCTAATCTGGTAAATAGAGTCGAGTTTCTTAACTTCTCCAAGATTCATTCTGTTATAACAGTATGATAATTCACTTAAGGTGGTGGTAGTCGACAGAACAACTTGTATTTAAGCTTTATGCTTGTTAGTACTTGACAGCAAGATGTATCTACAGTCTTATGGTAACGGATATTCTCTGTAGAATCTGGACTCGCGTTATCCACCTTCACAAACTGAGATATTATCGTTGAAATATCCGAATCATAACTCATCTTTTACAGGGCTGTAATTACTAATTATTATCTATCACTGATTATTTGAATCAATATTATGTTTGTTTACATCTATCTATAATGTTGATCAAGCTAGTTGTAATTGACAATTTTTTATTGAGTTATTCATCAGGAAAGTTTGTATCTTAACATACTAGAAATATTCAAAGTGTATGTTTTGAATAGATTGTTCAATGTAGATAAATAAGGTTAATTCATCATTCATTTAATGAACAAATACGTATGTAATAAATGTAAATGTGATAGTACATGATGTAGGAGATTGGAAGTTGTAGGCATAAAGGTATACAACTTGAGCTCATTGTATTACGTTGTTATTGTGATCTCTAAGTTGGATAGACTATTTTGTACAACTTTCATCGTTCACAAGATTACTGGGATATGTAGTCAAATGTATCTGTTGCGAGGCAAGCCCCGACTTGGAATTCTGAAGGGAAGCGGAAGAGAGGAAGGCCAAAGAACACATTACATCGGGAAATAGAAGTAGATATGAAAAGGATGAATAACAACTGGAAGGAGCTAGAAAGGATTGTCGAGGACAGGGTTGGATGGAGAATGCTGGTGAGCGGTCTATACTCCTTCACGAGGAGTAAGTAAGTACCCGTTGCAATGATAACGTGCTTCACAATTAATCCATTCAGTTTAGAGGTCATAACAACTGAGACATTATCATCCTGAACTACAAATGTTCTCTATCATCTTATGTGTTACGTTCTCTGAATGAATGGACACATACACAATCCTTTTAAGCAAGCTCTACCATTGACGTTAGTGACATTAAAGATAAATGAGATGCTATAACTGGCAACCAAATCACTGTATACACAACTCATTGATCAGTATATACTTTTACGACTTGAATTTGTATATTGAAACTTTGACAAACTGCATTCCCGGTTTGATCTCATATAAAATATGTTATGTTATGTTATCATCTCTCCAAATCAGTACTCATTGGGATATTATAAATATGTTATTGATTTATAGATTCATCATAAATTCAAACAATCATTATTCTAAAACATCATATTATCGAAGGTATGTTTTTTCTGATGTTTAGTTGTTATAGACGTATATTTTAAGATACACTGGTATGTGCTACCAATGTTGACAGATATAAGTAGTATATATCATCAATCCAAATTGAAATCCCTAGTAACAGAATGTTAAGGAGATCAAAGATTGTTGTGGAAACGAAAGAACAATGAAGCTGAAGATGATTGGTTGATAATTTCCAAGTAAATTATTTATTATATTATTCTCAGATTTTACTAAGACATTCTATATTCAAATACATTCGATTAGTCCATACTAGTGGTCCCATCCACACAAAAGCAACGATAAGATAGATACCTGTGGACAGTGCATATACTTATCGGTTGATTTGGGCCCAAATAAAACAATTTGTTAATTGTTCACAACTTTCCACATGTGGTCAGTAAGTTCAAGGTTCGAAACCCATTCCATTTGTTTGTTTTTAGCATAGAAAAATCAGATAGTATCAGTACAATATAGTTTGAAATCAACAATATAAACAAACTATAAACTATGCTGTAATTATATTGTTATTAGTTAAAAGAAAAGAAATAGATAGTTAGATAGATATTACTAACACATAATTGGTAGTAGTAGTAGTAGTATCAATAATAATTCTGAGGTTTCTTTTATATAAAAAAAAAGAAAAGAGAGTAAACGAAGACAAATGCATAAATGATTCAAGTGCTCACAATATAAATAGTCAAATAGAATTATGTAATAATCAATATGTGAATGATCAATAAAATAAAGAATAAAAGAACAAGTTCCATAAAAAATATATAAAGAGTAATAATCTATTCATGAATAGATTCATCAGCTGTAATGTTTATGTCCACCTTTAAAAGAGAATAATTAGAAGAAAAAAACGGAAATATTATTTCTTAATTATAATAACATTTTAAGTAAAACAAACAAATGGATAGTGGATAGTAGTGAAGTGGATAATGTGTTGTTTGAAGCAAACGGTACTGATGTTCGAGTCCCACAGTGAACATCAACTCTAGGATGTAGGTAATATCCACCAGCTGACGATTATTCAAACAGGACAAAACGCGAATTCTGAATTCCATTGCTAACCATCAACCATTTTTATTTATCAGGATAAGAGTTCTAGAGGCTATTGTGTTGTTTGATTTAGATCACGAACAGATTGATGTTAGGCGGCCATTAAAGACCTGAAAGCACAGGGCGAACTTTTTTCCCTATTGTGGAACCCCTCGATAGTGCGCATCTACGACTCCACTCGCGGAACTCAAACCCAGGGCCCTCAGCATCGTGCGCGAACGCTTAACCTACTGAAGCGGCTTCCAATGGTGTTAATATCTAACCTGAACCAATCCACGAAATCGCGCGGTCATCTTTGTTTATTTGAATGCAATTAATCAGTCTCTTATTGGTATATGTGCATCTAGTGCGGATTGCCTTGATATTGCCTTAAGTCACAAGCATTATAAACAAAGATGGATAGTGGCCAGCAGTGGAATGTAGAAGGCACGTTTCGTTGTATTTGGGACTCGTCAACTGGATAAACCTGTACCTCAGAGTTGTTGATCACTCTGGGACTCGAGCTCAGTAGCCAAGTGGATAACATGATGACGTTTGAAGCGAACAGTAAGCAAGAACAATCAGGTTTATTGAATAAAATGAAATCATTAGTCTATTTCACGGCTTTTCATCATCTGCATAGAATTTCCAAAAAAAATTGTGAACATGTTTGTCAGCATCTTAAAAAGAGCACTAGTTTTTTCCTCTTCAAAATTTTAGACAAGATAAACTGATAAATGTCCTTAAGTCCCTTTCTCATCCCTACCAATAACCGACAATTATTTATTTATTTAAACACAAACATCGGTACAAGGAGGTACCAAATTGATATGCGCCACATAAGTCATCCGATTTGTGTGAGGGCTTGCATACTGCCTGGGTGCCCAAACCGAGAAAGGTGGTTCTGTTGGAGGGCCCCACACCCGGAGCCTTCGACTTAAATGTCTGATCCACAAGGCAGTAGAGCGACGTCAGGAGATGCAATCCCATTTTAGCTGATGACCAACAATTGGTTCATACGCCATTTGTTCACTCAGGATCCTGGAGCCTATGTTCACTATTGGTTTGAAAACCGAGTTTTCCAACTCCCTTAGGTAAATCCTCCATATCGATCAACTCGGTTAAAGTGCTGAATATTCGCTTTTCGTCCTATCAATTTCGTAAACAACACTGATGTCGCGAGAAGGCAGTGATTATACGCATGTGCAGCATTTCGAAAGGGAGAGCTGACTCTCCACACTCTCAGTCGTACCAGGGCATTTGAGCTAATACATATATTTATATCTTCATCGAAAGAATTTAATTACCACTTAAGTACAACTATTTAACCATCAATCATACTGTTCGATTAGAATCTTCTGAATGAACTTAGCAAAAATCAATGTTATTTTATAGTTCAGTTAACCTGGAAGCTTTTGACGGCCATATTTCGTTCTAGTATGCGACTCCTTAGCAGTGCGCATCCATGATCCTGCTGGGAACCAGGACCTATCGGTCTTGCGCGCAAATCCTATTGGATGCCAACTCATTGGTCATTTTCTTTTGTTTACAAATTATCAAGTTGATCTCAATAATTTAACTTATGAACAAGTTATATTTAATTTCAGTGGTTAAGATCATTAGTCAGTTGAAGTTAGACCAACATGGAAAACCTGGAAGCACTGGATGGCCGTTTCGTTATGCTCACTAGTGACTGACTTCAAGAGTTCTAGTGAGAAGTAGTGACCAGTGGAGTTCAACCAGGTCTGCTGTGAGATAGTAACTCACTGATGACAATGGTGGATGTGTCGCTCAATTTTGTGGATTAGTTGAAGTTAGACATGAACACTGTTGGATACCAACCCAGTGGTTAAGTGCTCGCGCGCGAAACCAGTAGGTCCAGGGTTCGAGGTCGCGGATGCTCCCACAATAGAACGGAACGGTCGTCCAGTGCTTCTAGGTTTCCCATGGTAGTCTAGTTTCACATGACTCATGATCTTAACCATTGAAATCACTATAATATCCACAAAAAACCCATCTTATATGTAATTATTAAATAAATAAACAACAACTTACTCCTTCAATTATTCGATTACGAACATTATTTACATGAATATCATCATTGATTTGTTCAATTCCTTGTTGAATGTGTTCAATCGGATATGAATTATTATTGTTAAACGTTTTTTCTATTGTCATATTAGAGTTATTGTCTATATTTATAAAATGATTCAACTGATTTAATGAATTATTATTATTATTATTTTGTAATGATGAATATTGTTGATTTTGTTTGAATTGTTTCTGTTGTTGATGATGTTGACAACAATAACAACATCTTTCTTCGTTATCACCTACTTGGTGTTGACGGTGTTGTTGTTGTTGTTGTTGTTGTTGTGGAATATGTGAATGATCTGTGAAGGAATGTTTACATTTTAAACATACATTATTAGATGATGATGATGATGATGGTAATCTGTTAATATGATGTGAATTTAATGTAGATGATTTTTTCGCTATTGATGGTGTTGTTGTCGTCGTTGTTTTCATCATATAACCAAGTGCATGTTCATAAAGTAAATGTCGATCAGGTCGTGTTTCATCTTCTTTAAATATAGATGATTTAGGATTATAATATTGTTGACAAACAAAATGCCATAATGGTGAATTATTTGAACGTCCATGGGTATTTTGCATATCCTTGAAAAATAAAAGAGAGATAAACAAAAAAACAATTCATTCAATGAATAAATAAGGCAAAATTTTAATGCAGAGGTGTCTAACGAAATCTCAGAACGGATTCCAAAAGCTCGTTTGGTTTTTGTCAACTTACGTCACCTATGGCGAAGGCGAGATATCCGTCTTTCAATAAAAGGACGAGTATACTGCGCAGCAGTCCGTTCTGTTTTAATTTACGGCAGCGAAACATGGCCATTAAGAGTAGAAGATTTGTTAGTTACTAGTACTTGATCATAGATGTATTAAAGATATTGCTTGCATTTGCTGGGATCACTGGGTAAGTAATAGTAAGGTTCGACACAAGATATAATGGAATGATGGTAAATTAGTTGACGAGGTTGTGGATCTTCATCGACTGAGACGATTGGGCCACGTGTTACGTATGCCTGAACACCGATTGCAATGCTAACCGGTGTTGGGGATGGTTGGAAGAAGGTTAGGCGTGGCCAAACCAAAACGTGGCATCAGTGCTTGAAGTCACTAACCTCTAGTCTTAACCATGTTCGTAGATGCAGACTACTTGGTTGCGGTCCGCGTGACTTTCGTAACCAATGATTGGAGACTCTTGGTGACTTGGATGACTGCAGGTTTTGATACGCAGCGTTTATATCGATCGATTAGTGACACCTAAAACACGTAGTGAACGACCTAGCGCCCTGATTGGTTTTGCAGAGTTACCCCTAATCCGGCAGTACCAGAAGGAAAGTCTCCGGCCGAGTGCATGTTCGGAAGGAAAATCCGGACAGTCTTTAACAGTATGTTGCCGCCCAGAAAGACAAATAAACCCACAAATGAAAATCGTAAGGTCAGTCGTAGCTTCCAGGTGGGTGAAAAGGTATTTGTCAGATCGTATCAAGGTAATAGGAAGTGGGAACCAGGTGTCATAGAACGTCGAATCGGAAATGTACTGTACCTAGTCCGGAAAGGTGTCGGAAAATGCATAAGACATATAAATCAAATGCAAAGAAATGATAGTACAGTGGTCACAGAAAACCGGCTCCCATTTCAATTGCTCGTAGATTCATCTCAGAAGAACCATCATGAGCGCAAATATCGAAAAGACAAACGACGCAGAGAGGAAGCTGTACAACCCTCGAGAGTAATGGACCGCAAGAGGAAGGCGACACCCAAGCTTCAGGTGGATCCAAGAAAAAAATCTTACACAACGGACTTTAAAGGGGGGAGGTGTGACGACGGACCACCGGTGAACTCGGGGAAGCTGTAAGAGGCTCAGAAGGAGCCGAAGACGTCCCATCAATCACCTTTCGGAAGAATGTTCTAGAATTCCAACGTGTAGCTTCCCGATTGGATAATGCTAATAACCCCTGTATGCGGATTGGAAGACTGTAATGATGATTTCGTTCTCACTCAAAACTATAAATACCTGACAATTTTGTACTATGATTGACACTGTTTGGAATAATATTCCTTTTGTTAGTCTTCTGTCTTCTTATTGCAACTTGGAAGGGTTTTGGTGTTCTAGTGCTGTTATACGCGGTATATCGAGAAAATCAGCTTTTCAAGATATAACAGTGGCATAGGCGTATACACTCGTTGTCTTCCCTTACACTATGAAATTGAAATCGCTTCAAATCTTTCTTCCCACGAACTAATTCTTTTCTTTACTGTATCCTTACCTAAAATCTTTCCTATATATATAACACCATTGGATTAACTGCTTCTATGAATTCGGTGTTCGTCTTGCTGTGCTAATGCGGTATGGCGACTTGGACGGATGCATATATGTGCTTGGTTCTACGTTGTGACTGACAAGTTGAGTGAAACTATCCGATAGTATGATCATTACCTTCTCGCAGCCGGTGTGTTGTTTACGAAATTAAAAGGATAAAAAGCGAATGTTCAGCACTTTAAACGGGTTGATGGACACAGAGGGTTCATCACCCGAGGAAGATGGAAAACTCTGGTTCCAAACCAATGATGCACATAGGCTCCAGGATCCTGAGCGAACAAATGGTACATGAACCTATTGTTGTTTACCGGCTACGATGAGACTACATCTCTTTACGTTGCTTCACTGCCTTGTGGATCAGACCTTTAGGTCAAAGTCTTCGGGTGTAGCCCCCGAAGAAAACCACTTGCTTCGATCTGGGCAGCATCCTAGCTCTCATACAAATGGAATGGCGAAGCGTGGCGCATTTGTGTACTCGATGTATTCAAATAAATAAATAAATGTCTCTTGGTGAATACATTTGTGATTGTTGATGACCATGTCAAATGTATGAAGACATAAAGCCATTTTCACATAAACAAACGCTATCCGTTGATGAGTGTAGGTCTGGCTATGATAATATGTAGCGAAAATTCCACTTTATCGATACTTGAACATCATTAACCATAAATAGATTTATCTATTTTACGCTATACTGTCTATTTTTCTGAAAGTTACTGATGATAATGCAACTAAAACAAGAAAAGTTGGAGAACGAAGTCAGAATCGGCAATTTATTATTCGCTGAAAACTGATTAAATTCACTACAAACCCAACTCTGTTGGATAAATTAGGTGAAAACTGGAATAGTTCGGTCTCTCTTGAGTTTAATACAGTAGTCACCAGTTCCAGGGTTTTATACTGCGAAAAGTTATTTGAACAGTTCACAATACTTTAAGTTTATTCTTATTAGCAACACAACAGCATATTAATTTGTATGAGATCGTAGTACAGTTTATCACATACTTGACTTTTCTCACTCCAATCACATTAATTGATCTCAATTCATCAAACTTCAAATAATATTGGATGATGAATTTCCAATTTTGATAAATAAGGATAGATAAGGACAAATGAAACGTTATGAATTCAATTTAACTGAAGTCGGCGCTAGATTTTAAGACGTTATTTTTTTACCTACTTATAAGTAGTTAAATTTTGTATGCAGAAATTCGGGTTCACCAAACAAGATGAGATTTACATTTGAATGATACTGAGGGGGATTTCTTTTTTAAAAAATTGTTTGTTAATATAAAATTTGTTTAAAATTGGTTGTTACAAATGAACATCACAACTTTAGAAGCCACCATAATATGAATAATCGATAGCTTCACAAATCAGTGATGTTTGTAAATAGATATAGGATAACGCATGTGAGACTACTAACTACCATAATACCAAATTTGAATACTTTTAACCGATGAACAAACCTAAAAACAAATGAACCATAATGGTGATGCATTTAGTTTATTGATTACAATCAAATCCATGTAATTGAAAGGATTTGATCAGTATTCAAGACTAAATAGACAAAGGACTGGTCAGCGTAGTGGATAGGACACACATTGAGGAAAGCACCCAACTGCATCACAAAGCAGTCCCTCACTTGGAATCATCAACGCCATAGTAGAAGATGAAGACGAAAGAAATGGATACAGATATTAAAAGAAGAAGAATGAACAACAATTGGATACAACTAGAAAGGAAGATCCAGGATAGAGTGGGTTAGAGAATGCTGGTCGGTGGCTTATGCTCCTCCATTGAGAGTAACAGGCGTAAGTAAGTAAATACATGACTTATCATCCCTATACTATTTGTTTGGATGATCAATTAGAATTTTAGTCAAATGAATTATTAATATTATTTATTTAGTTAGTTAGTTATATAATATACCATTTTGGGCCAGGGTAATTTTACACTGGTTTTCAGAAGGACCAGACACTATCCATTCCTTCACGTGACAATCCAAACAGCATAGCTCAATCCCGTTTAACAGGAGAATCAGACACCGCCCAAGCTTAAAATCTGTATTTGATTGGGATTATGAACCGATTGATGTTAGACCACCATTGAAAACCTGGAAGCATTGGACGGTCGTTTCGTCCCATTGTGGGACTCCTCAGCAGTGCACACACACGATCCTGCCAGCGGGATTCGAATCCAAGGCCTTCCGTTTCGCGCGCGAACGCTTAGCCTACTAGACCACTGAGCCGGCATCCAGCGGGATCGTGGATGCGCACTACTGAGGAGTCCCACAACAGGACGAAACAGCCGTCCAGGGCTCCCACGTTTTCAATGGTGGTCTAGCATCAATCGGTTCATGATTTCAATTAAAAACGTATCAATCTCCACAACCCCTAAACTGTTAAAACTTGTAGGCTAAATAGTACAGCTCATTTCCGTTTCCAGAGAAACCAGACAGCATCCAGGCTTGAGCAGTACAGCTCAATCCTGCTTCACAGGAGAACCAGAAACCATATAGGCTTTAAAACTTGTGGGGCAACCACACAGGCACCAAGCACCTTGGTGGACCATTCGCACAATTCATATACACATTCACGTCACATGTATAATAATTATTCTGACCAATGATCACGTGAATCAATTATGCACAGCACAAACAAACGAAAGTTGACTTATTCCAGTTACACGACAGTCAAACTGATTAATCTTAGCAATAGCAATGTCCCAATAACAATGGACTTTAAGAACATGAAAAAACAACTACCAGTATAAATGAAATCAGTTAACCGACAAACCAATTTTCTGCATAAACAATCAACAAAACGTGTCAAAATCATATCGAATCATTCACACTATCAATGATGAACATCCAATCTCATAATGAGACCTTCACAGCTCTACATAGTAACGCAACTGACCTCGGAGACGTCGACGTGAGTTCTGGAAAGAGTTCTCTTTTCTTTGTTAAGAGTGCATCCACCCCCTGGAATCGGCTTGTCCGAAGACAGGGGCTAGCCTCCGTAAAGCACTACTCTTCTTGTAGTGTCCGAATTGCCCCCAAATGCCCAGGTACGGCCGAGAGTGGCCACGCGTATATAGCCTCTCCCAGAGAAGTCCTATTCAATGCCTTCTCGTGACCGGGGTGTGGTTTATGAAATTGAGAGGACGAAAAGCGTATGTCCGGCACGGAGATAACGTGTACAAACTTGTGTATTTGTACACGGCCGAGAGTGGGAAGAGTCAGATCTCCCTCTTGAAATGGTCTCACATGGCTACATGTATACAACCACTGCTAGTGAAGTCCCACTCACTACCTTCTCCTGGCGGGGGATATTGTTTACGAAATCGAGAAGACGAAAACCGAATGTCCGACGACTCAACTGAATTGATGGATATGAAAGATCCACCTAGAGGAGTTGGAAAACCCTGATTCTAAACCAATGGTGTACATAAGTTTTATGATCCTGAAAGAACAAATGGTATATGAACCGATTGTTGGTCATCGACTACCATAGAATTGCATCTCCTTACATTGTTCCACCGCCTTGTGGATTAGACCTTCAGGTCAAAGGCTCTAGGTACAGCCCCCACCCATCCGGGAAGTATCACAGCCCTCATACAAATCTATTCAATGCCCCCCCCTCAATACCACTATCTGTATGTTTAAATAAATCAATAAAGATTATTATTATAAATATTAAACTCCGCCTGATGTCCCTCCGGAGGCTACTGCCTATTCCCAATCCGAATAGAAAGAGGAGGTTAGGGCATTAGGGTTAGCGATCTCATCTCGTAGAGAACTAACTTGCTAAGGAAGAAAAAACAAACATTAACCAGATAATAAATTAATCAGATATCCAATGTAACTTACTTTAACTTCTTCATATGCTTCAAATATAATTGTAACAAATAAATTTAATACAACATATATAAATAATGTAATAAATAAATATAAAAATAAACGACTAAATAAATAAATTCCAATTGGAGCATTCTCATTAATAATAGTAAATGTGACAAACATATCATCACCATTAATTAAACTATATAAACATTCAACTGTAGACATAAATGTACGAAATTTCAAATTATATGGTCCTAATACAACCCAACCGCATAAACTGAATGCAAAAAATAATATTAATGCACAAACACAAAAACGTAATAAACCCGGTATAGAACGTGAGATAGTACGAATAAGTAACTAAAAGAAAAAGAGAAAAAGAAAAGAAAAAAAAGGAGAAAATAATAATAATAATAATGATGATGAGAGATAGATGATCATTATGACATGAATGATTATGTTTGTGTCTTAGGAGGATATCATAAGGAATAATCTGTTTACTTATGCCGCCTAAATAACACTCTCTATGTAATCGTGTTCTAAGCAATCCTTTTCATGTTTACTTACAATTTCTGATGTAATGTGTTCTTTGACCTTACACTATTTTTTTGGTTTCTATACACGATTCCAAATTAGGGCTTATCTCATGATGCAGTTTGATCATTTGTGTGATATATGTCCTATCTATTTCTATCATCTATTCTGAATTTTCTCTTCAGATGGAAGTTGATCAGTTTTCTCCAACAATAGGCTATTGCTAATGGTATCCGGTCAATCGATGTTGAGTATCTTGCGCAAACAATTAAATACTTGTACCTTTTTGATGATAGTTGTAGTAGTTCTTCAAGTTTCAGCTCCGTACCCTAAAATTGTCTTGACGTTCGTATTGAACATTGTGACTATGCTATTGGTTGAAAGTTGGATCGATATATTTCTGTTTATTCATTTACAAGTTAGATTAATGATTATAGTCGATGAATCATAGTTAAACTTGTTTGAATGACATGGCTCAAAATCGTTAAGAATGTCGTAGATGCATCCACTCTTTGTGTTCACTCAAATTCTAATCTTTTGAATTCTTCATCTCCCTTTCTTTTTTTCTCTTTCCACATTTATTTCACTGGATTGTACTCGTTGAATAACATCTTCAAACCGTAATGTTTCTGATTACTGCTTAAACTCTTAATACCTGTACCACTATCAGATTGGAATGGACAATTGTATTTGTGTGTTAATGTGGTATGGCAACTTGAACTGATATGCGTACGTACAAAGTTCTACGTTGTTGATGACTAAACTGACTTGTGAATTCTCTATTAGTATAATGAATAAAGATTAGACCTAATAATAGATAGATTGAGGATTTATTAACTTAAAATAATCTGTAGTGTATAATTCATTAATTCTTCTTTGATCAATTACTATTTTTCAAAGTTTACATGGATATTGTTGATTCAATATTGGATGATGTGGAGTTCCTATCACACGCGTGTTTCGTTTTATTTTGAACACTTCAGTCGGATGCATTTGGATCGTAGGGTTAATGTTCACTCCAATACTGGAACATAATAACATTTGCTTCAAATATCATCACTTTATCCACTTAACTACAGAGTTCAGATAGCCACTCACTTGTGCGATGACAGTATTTGCTTTAAGTCTCATAGTGAAAATCAATCCTGGGATGTAGGTACATTCAATAAGAATTCTAATTCCAATTCTTGATACATACTACTTATCACTGTCCATATAAGCAGCACATATCACAATAACTATGATCGGTTAGTCAATTAGTCATCCGCAATATAAAAACGAATAAATATTTGAATGGATTCAAATGGCTAAATTGGCTTAAAGAGATAAAATTATACATCAATAAATTTAAGTCTTGATTTGTTCAATATTTCAATAAACAAACAAAATTTAAGCAAATGTATTCTTATGTCCGGTGTTTTAACGGAGTTGATAGATACGGAGGATCAACCTAGGAGAGTTGAAAAACCCTGATTCTAAACCATTGGTGTACATGAGCTCCAGGATCCTGAAGGAACTTATTGTTGGTCACTGGCTACCAAGGTACTGTATCTCTTAACCTTATTCCATTTACATGTGGATTAAACCACTTGCTTTGATTTGAACGCCCAGGTAGTAGTAGTATTCCAGCCTTCATATAAATGGAATGATGAAGTATGGTGCATTTGTATTTGATGCCTTCATATTACTAATGTTGATATGCTTAAATAAATAAACTTAGTTGTAAAATCAAGATTTAATTGATTATGTAATAAAAGAAATACTTATCATTCACTTATTCATGTTATGTTAATGAACTTAAGAGTTGATTATGGATCCTAATCTCTATTTATCATGTGAACGAACAAATCAATTATACAGGACATTGCATTGTTGGATATAGAACTAAAACCATGAGGTTGTCTATTACAATCGCCCCCAAACGCCCTGGTATGGCCGAGAGCAGGGTGGGTTCGCCCTCCCTCTCGAAAAACTCTCACACGGCCGCGCGTATACAGCCTCTGCCAGGGAAGTCCTACTCACTATCTTCTCGTGGCGGGGGTGTTGTTTACGAAAATGAGAGGACGAAAAGCGAATGTCCGGCGCCTTAACCAGATTCCAAACCAATGGTGCACATGGGCTCCAGTATCCTGCGGGAACAAATGGCGTATGAACCAATTTTCGGTCACCGGCTACCATGGGACTGCATCTCCTCACGATGCTCCACTGCCTTGTGGGTTAGACCTTTAGGTCAAAGGCTCGGGGAGTGGCCCCCTAAGATAACCACCTGCTTCGGTCTGGGCACCCGGGCAGTATCGCAGCCCACACGCAATTAATGAACTGAAATTGTGTGGCGCATATATATTTGGCGCACTCCTGTACCTATTACAATCAATCATCATCTTTAATTGTCAATGAAACTATATTCAATAGTTTACATCACTTTTCACTAGATAATCATGCACAATCTCAATGTTCTTATGTATGAATCAAAGAAGGAGAATGTCCCTGTATGAAGAATATGCAACTGAACAATTCTAATCAGTGTTATTCACATACGCTATCATGCATTCAATTTGTTTGGTTTATGAATAAAATTATGTCGCTTTAATTGATTCCATTTTACAGATCGTTTATACAGATAATTTATATTTAAACATATAAACATTGATACAAGAAGGCATCAAAATATATGCAAATCATACACTGACCACCTCTCTCGCTTCATCCAACCGGTCCCAGTGTCCACAAATTATACACGATATGGAATTCTCTGAGACGACATTCGTAGAACATGTCGAAGCCACCGAAATCGATGTTTCAAGATAGTGATAGTGTGATTGTGCCTGAACACACACGATGCCGATTCTTTGCATTAATAACATAGTGCTGCCGCCACTAGATACCAGCAATCTTTAGGAGTCAAAGATGATTGACTACAGAGAATTGTGAGTTAAACAATGTTCTACAAGTGCATCACCCTTATATTAACATAATTTTCGAACCACATTGTAAAGTAGTTTGAATAATTTTAGTCGACTATTTCAACTTGAATTCGCGATTTAATAATCGTTATGTTACACGATTAAAACACTGTAGAAACACAATCGAGACGAGTTTCTAAAAAAAAAACACTATGTTGACCATTTCAAAATCCAGAAAACTGAAACGAATTGAGTGAAACCGACTACAACCAAACATTTATACTACTTATGAGTAACATGAAATTATAAGCTAAAATAAATTACAATCAGGCATCTAATCTGTGTGTATACTTACGCTGTTATCATATGAGAAACCAACATAGTATAGTATACCAATCCAGACAAGTAGTGCACCAATACCCATTAAATAAGTCAATGGTTCGTATTTCACTTGAATCTATGAAACAAAATTAACAAAGTAACAATAAATGGACATTGAAATTATTGTTTATATTACAATATTATTACGAGTGTTTATCAAACTGATGAGTCACAAATAAGAAATGCATGTCACTGCTTTAGGATTGGGTTGCATCGACACCCGAACTAATGATAGGGAGTGAAGAAATTGAGCATGTTGACCGCTTCACTTATCTTGGAAGTCTCATCAGCCCTTGTGGTCTGGTGTGTGTTGAAACCTCAGCACGTATACAGAAGGCTCGATTAGCTTTTGCCAACTAGCGTCATTTATGGCGTAGACGAGATATCCGTCTACCAACTAAAAAAACGGGTTACTGTGCAGCAGTTCATTCCGTCCTACTTCATAACAGTGAACATGGCCGGCAAGAGTAGAGGATATTCGTAGGTTACCAGTATTCGATCATAGGTGTCTTTGAAACATTGCTCGTATATCCTCTGTCCACCGGATAAGTAACGCAGTTGTTAGGAAACGGGTACTACGTACGGATAACAAATCAATTGATGAAGTAGTGAAATTTCATTAGTTGAGATGACTGGGACACGTGTTACGTATGAACAACCAGCGGCTGCCTCGAAGTGTGATGTTCAATGGTTTAGGAGTAGGTTGGAAGAAAGCTAGGGGCAGCCAAACCAAAACATGACACAAATCCACTAAGTCATTGACAAGTGGACTGAGTCATGTTGGTAGGTGTAGATCACCTGGTTGGGGAGCGCGAGATGATAACAACCGATGGTTAGAGACCTTGAATGACATGGCTCAAAATCGTTTGCAATCGCACAGGTGCAGGTCCTCACTTTATGTTCTCTCAAATCCTAATCTTATGACTTTTTCATGTTCCTTTCTTTTTTATCTTTCCAAATTTATTTCACTGGATTATACTCTTTGGAAAGCATTTTCAAAGCCTAATCTTTCCGATTACTGCTTATACTTTTACTATTTCTATCACTACGGGATTTGAATTGACAACTGCATCTCTGTGCTAAGGTGGTGTGGCAACTCGAACTGATGTACGTACGTACGAAGTTCTACTTTGTTACTGACTAACGACAAACCTCAGAGGAAACTGATATGTTTGTATGCTATTACAATTTACTTTACTCGGTAAACGGAACGAAGATTAAAGATACAATTTCGGTATGTTATACTTGTATATATATACTTTAACAAAATTATTATTGTTTACTTTTACTACATAATCGATAGAAATTCTTTTTGTGTTTCTAAGTGAAAAAATAAAATTGATTTATAAATTGTATATCCATCATCATAGTAAACGAATCAATAAATATATATTCATCAATTAAAATGAATATCAAAATGAGGGGGGGGGGAAGGGTTGTTGTCGATATTATAGTAGGTTTGTTTTCTGTTAATGGTTAAGATTATGAGTCAATTCAATCTAGACTAATGATGAAAAACAAAACAACATTGAATGACCATTTCATGTGTGTGTTCTAGGAATTTCTTTCTTTTTTTTTCTACGTAAGATTTTGTCAATTAAATCATGAATGATTTTCTTCTCTTTCATTTATCATAATTTCTTTTAAAATATATAGGAGAAAGATTGTATATAAAAACATAGTACAGGAAGAAAGAATTAGTTGGTAGAATGAAAGATATGAAGCGATTTTAATCTCTTAGTTTAAGTGAAGATAGAGAGTGTATACACCTACGCCATTGTGATCGATTCTGAGCCATGTCACCAAGAGTTTCCAACCATTGGTTACGATAATCACGCGGACCCCAACCAAGTAGTCTGCATCTACCAACATGGCTCAGACCTCTGGAGCCAATCCATTTGGACCGGCTGCCCTTCCTCGTTTCAGATTAACTATAGCCTTTTGAACTTCAGCAATAGTTGGAGGACCTACTTCAATGTTCCATTCACACTGTCTGGGAATGGAGGGTAGTTGTAGTGTAGCTGAAGGCCAGTTGAATTGTTCTCTGAAATGTTCCGCCCATCGTTCTGAACGTCTGGACTGAGAGTAGATGAAGGTGTCTTTTTTCGAAATAGTCTGACTTACACTTGACTTATTAATTCCAGTTTCTTTTATTAGTCTGTAGAGCTGTCTTGTGTTCCCTATAGCCGCCGCCTTTTCCATCTCTTTTGCTTTCGTTGCCCACCACTGCTCACGGTCATTCCTTAGACTTTTGGTTAACCAAGATCTGATTCGTTGTCGCTCTTCATCGTGTTCAGAGCCTGATGGGATGAGTTTACGAGAATCCATCAGTGCAATAGACCTAGAGGAAATCCATTGGTTGTTTGTAACCCTGCGGTTTAAATCACTGATAGATGTCACTGCTGTTTCCACAGCTGTTTGTACAGCTTTCCAAGCAACATCTGAGTCAACCTCGTTTTCAGAACTACCTAAGTGTGAACTCAGTTGTTCCTGGAACCTACTTTTGGTTTTCTCGTTACTCAACTCAGTTCTAATGAGTCTTTTCAATGTGACTTTTTTGCGTCCAGTGAGGCGAAAGCAGATGCGTGCCGGTATTAGGGCGTTGTCGGAGTCCAAGTATGTACCCCAGAATGAGCGACAATCTTCTATCGACCCTCTCCAACGATGACTGTTGGCAATACGGTCTATTTGAGTCCATCGTTGGTTTGGTGTAGGGGGTCGCCATGTTAGACGATGTCTCTCCTTATGCTTAAAATTTGTGTTTACTAAAAATAAACGATTGTTTGAGCATAGTTGCAGCAGACGATCACCATTATCTGTTCGTTGTGCCGGTATACTAAAATACCCACCTAAATGCCTTTCTGTTTGGTTTAAACTCCCTATCTGGGCATTAAAGTCACCTGCTACGAGTACTATGTCTGAACGTTTAGCTTTCTGAAGAAGTTCAGATGGCTCTCTGTAAAATTCATCTTTCACATCATCTGAGCTGCAGTCAGTGGGAGCGTAGGCAGAAACGACGAAAAGGCAACGACGTGTGTCCTTATCCTTCCGAGTTCTTACGGAGCCATTTAGCCGAACAGCACATAGACGTCTGTTAACGGGAATCCACTCTAATAGTTCTTGTTCCGCCCTCATGCTTGGTGCTATCCCTACTCCTGCCAGTCCACGAGAGCTTGCCGTCGGGTCACCAGATACATGGAGGGTGTATCTTGTTGGCTCTCCGTTTTGCCGACGTGAGGTCAAGTGAATGACCACACTGGGATCCTGTATGCGTGTTTCAGAGACACGGCATACATCAATGGTACGAGATTCTAGGGTTCAAGCCAGGGAAGCCTGTTGACCGATTTGACATAGGGTGCGTACATTGAAGGCTCCAATGTGTAGTTTGGAGCGAGGTTTCAGTGGACCTGGGAGTGTTTTGAGCACTAGAATCGTTGGCTATGGTGACACTTGAGGAGGAAGCCGAAAGAGGAAGTTTAGAGGTGAAAGTCGATGTAAGAGGAATAATGGGAAGTGAAGACGGAGGTTGACTATGAATACAGTGCTCTTGAGTGCTGTTAGAGGTATGAGGGCGGTTGTCACTTCCCGGTTGCCCACACCGTGGAAGGGTTCTTCTGGAGGTACCTAAAAAGGAAGTTGGATTAGAGGTGGTCTTAGTGACCTGGGAGCGTGACCGCAGTGCCCAAAGGACAACTGCTTGAGGTCGGTCACACACGACCTTTTTATGGGTAATCTTAGTGTTTGCTCCGTACTTGTTGAGACCTTACCGCCGGAGACGGATATCCGTGGGATAAGGTGAGGTGCGCATTTTTGGGGTCGACCTTTTCTAACCCCACCCCTCCTTGTGGGAAGGCAGCATCGCTGTCATGCTGGTTGTCTGATAGAAACACCTTACTGCTGTCACACCTCTGTACAGTTAGCATAACGCCTTCGGACCTTAGGTCTGTTGCTTTTAGTCTTACCGCTCTTCAAGCGACCTTTCTGACGTGGTAGGACCTTGGGGAACAGTTGTTCCAGTCAGTATAGCTCGGTTGCTTCATCACGAAAGGCAAGCCCGACCACCACGTCAAGGTAGCAACAACGGTCGGGCGTAAAAGTATAAGAATTAATCGAAAAGATTAGGGTTTGAAGATGCTTTCCAAGGATTATAATCCAGTGAAATAAATTTGGAAAGATAAAAAAGAAAGGAACATGAAAAATTCATAAGATTAGGATTTGAGAGAACACAAAGTGAGGACCTGTACCTGCGCCATTGCAAACGATTTTGAGCCATGTCATTCAAGGTCTCTAACCATCGGTTGTTGTCATCTCGCGCTCCCCAACCAGGTGATCTACACCTACCAACATGACTCAGTCCACTTGTCAGTGACTTCATGGATTTGTGACATGTTTTGGTTTGGCCGCCCCTAGCTATCTTCCAACCTACTCCTATATCATAAAACATCGCTCGTCAGGGCAGTCGGTGGTTGGGCATACGTCAGAAACAATCTATTGACCGTAACTACTATCTCGGTATAATGAATTGAAATATAAATGATTGGAACATTTTTTCCTATGAATCGTTCTATCATGCCAGTCAGGTAAGTTGGAGAACAATAAAAATAAAAGAAGCAAACTCAAGCACTGAGGGTGAAAATTTATTGCCGATTGTATTGGAGTGTGACGGCAGTAAAGTTTTTCTCTTAGAAAATCAGCACCTAAAGTGATTCTCACACAACAGAAGTAAAGATCACCCCCCAAAATAAAACACCTTTTCTTACTCCATAAATTTTCGGTCTAAGCAATATAAATCCAACACACGATTACTCACAAAATGGTCCTAGGTGGCAAGCCCTAAGCATTTGTTCCTCAGGTACTGTGAACACCCTGACAGGTATTTAGGATCACTACCACTAATCGAGTTTCATTTTTAGGTCCTTTAGAAACGTCAATCTTCTACAGTGTAGACAACTCGGAAGCGAAAACTGACAATATTCATCCGACAGCACTTCATGCTGATATTTAACATGGTTGGTATATACTGATTAGCATGTGAAAGTATATTGACAGGTAGCTTTGAGTTGTTAAATCATCGAACTTGAAACCTTAAACGTCAACTTCCTATCAACTATCTCTCTTATTATTTTTTTAAAGATGATTTCTGATTTACTTTAGTCGAAAATCAGTTAAGTGAACAATTTCTGCTAAATTTTAAAGAAACCATTCGTATGAAAACTTACATGATTCAATGTACTCAATGCATATATTGATGTAGTGATGATAACCAAATCATTAACTATGATAAATAAAATCCATGGACGAACAAATTCCCAAAACACTCCATTCAATTGAATTCCAAACCAATTCTTAAAGAATCCAACAGTCTCCTAAATGGTGAGTTGAATAAACGAAAAGAAAAAAAAACATCTTCGATGTGAGAAATATTAAACACAATATATACATACACTATTAAACTGGAACCACCTCAAACAACAATGCAAGCATGTTTGGGATGCGGCTTCCCTTCTAAATGTAAAATGTTACTTCAGGATTGGTTTGCGTTACCGTCTGAATTAATCGTACGGAGAGAAGTAGTTGGACACGTCGACCGCCAAACTTATCTCGGGGGTCTCACCATTCCTGATAGTCTGGTGTCTGACAAAAACTTGGGATGGATTCAGAATGCTCGATTGGATTCTGCCAACTTGCGTCCCCTCTGACGTAAACGAGATATCCGTTTCCCAATCAAAGGCGCGTTTGCCATGTAGCATTTCCCTCCACACAACTTCATGGATGTGAAACAGGACGATTAAGAATTGATATCCGGAGGTCACTAGTATTTGATCATAGGTGTCTACGAAGCATTGCTCGTATATTTTTAAACCACGGAGTAAGAAAGTCTGGGCTAGGAATAGGGTATTAGGGAAGGAAGGCAAGTCGAATGATGAGGTAAAAAAACATTCAGCCCCCAAATGCCCTGGTATGGCCGAGAGTGGGGAGAGTCCACTCTCCCTCTTGCAATGCTCTCACACGGCCACGCGTATACAGCCTCTGCCAGGGAAGTCCTACTCATTGCCTTCTCGTGGCGGGGGTGTTGTTTACGAAAATGAGAGGACGAAAAGCGAATGTCCGGCGCTTTAACCGGATTCCAAACCAATGGTGCACATAGGCTCCAGTATCCTGAGGGAAGAAATGGTGTGTGAACCAATCGTTGGTCACTGGCTACCATGGGACTGCATCTCCTCATGATGCTCTACTGCCATGTGGATCAGACCTTGAGGTCGAAGGCTCGGGGGGTGGCTCGCTAAGAAAACCACCTGCTTCGGTTTGGGCACCCGAGCAGTGTCGCAGCCCTCACACATGTTGAATGAGATTTGTGTGGTGCATATGTATTTGGTGCCTCTTTGTACCAATATCTATGTGTTGAAATAAATAATAAACCTTCATCGACTGAGATGGTTTGGACATATGTTATGTATGTCCAACCACCTCCTAGCTCGACAGGCATTGTTGTCTAGTGTAAAAGTAGTCTGCAAGAAAGGTACGGGTGGCCAAACCGAAATATGGTATCAGTCCATGAAGTCACTGACATTTGGACTGAGCCATGTTGGCAGATGAAGACTGCCTGGTTGAAGTCCACGTGATTATCGTAACCAGTGGTTAAACACTCGAAATGACATGGCTAGAAATCGTTTGCAATGGTGCAGTTGTATCTGTTTTTCGACTTTCCCCAGATTCTAGGCTCTTAAATTGTTCATGATCTATTTATTTTACTAGTTCTTGAATTGCATCTTCGATATCTAACCTTTTTGATTACCACTGATACTGTTAAATACTCTACTATTCTGGAATTCGGCCTGACAATTTCATCTCTTTCTTACTTACTTACTTACGCCTGTTACTCCTCGTGAAGGAGCATAGGCCGCTCAACAGCATTCTCCATCCAACCCTGTCCTGAGCAATCCTTTCCAGCTCCTTCCAGTTGTAATTCATCCTTTTCATATCTGCTTCTATTATCCGACGCAATGTGTTCTTTGGCCTTCCTCTTTTCCGCTTCTCTTCAGGATTCCAAGTTAGAGCTTGCCTTGTGATGCAGTTTGACGATTTGCGTAATGTATGTCCTATCCATTTCCATCTTCTTTTCCTAATTTCCTCTTCAGCTGGAAGTTGATTTGTTCTCTCCCACAGAAGGCTATTGCTGATGGTATCCGGCCAATGGATGTTGAGTATCTTGCGAAGATAACCATTTATAAATACTCATACCTTTTTGATGATGGTTGTAGTAGTTCTCCAAGTTTCAGCTCCGTATAGTAGAACTGCCTTGACGTTCGTATTGAAGATTCTCACTTTGATATTGGTTGAAAGTTGTTTTGAGTTCCATATGTTCTTCAATTGTAGGAATGCGACCCTTGCTTTGCCGATCCTCGCCTTTACGTCTGCATCGGATCCTCCTTGTTCATCGATGATGCTTCCCAGATATGTGAAGGATTCTACATCTTCCAGAGTTTCGCCATCAAGAGTGATTGGATTGATGTTTTCCGCTTTGAATTTGAGGACCTTAGTTTTCCCTTTGTGTATGCTGAGGCCTACTGATGCAGAGACTGCTGCTACACTGGCTGTCTTCATCTGCATCTGTTCGTGTGTACGTGATAGGAGGGCTAGGTCATCTGCGAAGTCCAAATCGCCTAATTGATTCTGAGCTGTCCATTGTATTCCGTGTTTTCCTTCAGATGTTGAGGTCTTCATAATCCAGTCGACCACCAGAAGAAAGAGGAAGGGAGAGAGTAAACAGCCTTGTCTGACTCCGGTCCTTACTTGGAATGCACCTGTCAGCTGTCCTCCATGCACTACTTTGCACTGTAGTCCGTCGTATGAGTTCCGGATAATATTGACAATCTTCTCAGGAATTCCGGAGTGTCGAAGAAGTTTCCATAACGTCCTCCTGTCTACACTGTCGAATGCCTTTTCATAATCAATGAAGTTGATGTATAGTGATGAGTTCCACTCAACTGATTGTTCGACGATGATCCGTAGTGTTGCAATTTGGTCTGTGCACGACCGATCCTTACGGAATCCAGCTTGTTGATCTCGAAGTTGGGCGTCTACTGCATCCTTCATCCGGTTCAGCAACAATCTGTTGAAGACTTTCCCTGGTATTGACAGTAGTGTTATGCCTCTGTAGTTTTCACATTTGCTCAGATCTCCTTTCTTTGGAATCTTGACGAGGTGTCCTTATTTCCAGTCCATTGGCACTTGTTCCTCCTCCCAAATCTTTTTGAATAGAAGATAAAGCATGCTTGTGGTTGCTTCGATGTCTGGTTTCAGTGCTTCAGCTGGTATGTTGTCGGGTCATGCTGCTTTCCCGTTCTTGATTTGTCTGACGGCCATTCTAATTTCTTCCGTAGTTGGTGGATTGACATTTCTAGGAAGATCTATGTGTGCTGCTTCGATGTCCGGTGGATTCATTGGAGCCGGCCTATTCAGGAGTTCCTCGAAGTATTCTACCCATCTGTTACGCTGTTGTTGAATTTCGGTGATTGACTTGCCTTCTTTGTCTTTGACCGGCCTCTCTGGTTTACTGTATTTCCCTGATAGTTTCTTCGTTGTATCGTAAAGCTGTTTCATATTTCCTTCTCTAGCAGCTTTTTCTGCCGTCGTTGCTAGTTCTTCCACGTATTTCTTCTTGTCGGCTCTAATGCTCCTCTTCACTTGTTTGTTTGCTTCTATGTATTCAGATTGTGCTTGGACTTTCTCTGCTCGTGTTCGGCTGTTGTTTATTGCTGCCTTCTTGTTCTTCCTTTCTTTAATCTTGTCCAGTGTTTCTGTAGAGATCCATTCCTTATGATGGTATTTCTTTAGACCGAGAACCTCTTGACACGTTGAAGTTAATGCTTCCTTGATGCCTTTCCAGTTGTCCTCCATAGTAGTTTCTTCTTCTTTCAGTAGATCTTGTAAGGCTTGGAACCTGTTGTTGAGAGCTATCTTGAATTCATTGAGTCTGTCAGTATCTCGAAGGAAGGCTGTATTGAACCTTTGTATTGCTGTTTGTCAAGTTTTCGAGTTCTTTTTTAGTTTCAGTTTTAAATTGGCTACAACTAGGTGGTGATCTGAAGCCACGTCAGCACCTCTTCTGGTCCTCACATCTTCCATTGTCCTTCGGAATTTTTTGTTGATGCAAATATGATCTATCTGGTTCTCTGTAGTGTGGTCCGGTGAGATCCATGTAGCCCTGTGTATACGCTTGTGTGAAAATATTGTGCCCCTTATGAGCAGTTTGTTGAATGTACATAGATTTGCAAATCTTTCTCCATTTTCGTTTCTCTATCCCAGTCCATGTCGCCCCATTTAATAATATTGAAATAAATTTTCTTTTAAGAAACCACATATATAAATATTTTCTTCTTTTATCATAAATAATTAAAATATAAATACGACACTTACAATCCACATATGAAATCCTTGTATAATAGATCGTATACATAGAATACATGAAATAATACTAAGAATTAATGTAAAACTATCAATCAGTATAACTAATAATCTATGCGAGAATAAATATTTAATTTCAATCGATTTATTCATTGTTGAATTCCAAAATTGAATTAATAATTTATACTTTTTCTCATTATTATATTGTTCAGTTGTAGTAGATGTTAATGATGAAGTAGTCGTTGAAGATGACGATGATGATGAGGAGGAAGAGGATGACGATGATGAGGATGAGGATGAATGTATTATAGATATATTATGATCAAATGTATGATTATTATGTAATTGTTTTGAAATATCAATACATGGAGTGGATGCATATGGTGCACGTAGGATAATTTTCATTTGACCTGATTGGGAAGGATTCTCTAAAGATATCTTGAATAATAAATAATAATAATTAATAATAATAATAATAATTAATAATAATAATAATAATACAAAATTAAGTTATAAATTGAATAAATAAATACTTTCAATAGTTGAGATCATGAGTGATTTAAAGCTAGATCACCATGGAAAACCTAGAAGCACTGGACAGTCGTTCCGTCCTATTGTAGGGACTCCTCAGTGGCAGTGTGCATCCACGACTTGATTTAAAACAATTAGCTCCATTTGATAAATTCCGATCATGTAATAAGAAGACAAAGATGATCAGAACTAACAATGTGACGATAGATTAGTGTAATATATTTCAAAAAATGAATGATCACACATTATATAATTGTGTTAAAATCATTTATATCTGAAGAATAAAAGGTTAATTAGATTAGAAATGGAGGATAAGAGGAGACAAGGATAATAAGTCAATATTACCAGGGTAAATTTAAGGTGAGATACAAACTGTTTTTTTTTTAATAATCTTTGTCTTCTTAATATATTATCGAAAGAATTCATTACCAAAAAAAAACTAAACTCGATAGAACAGGGTTCGAACTTATAACTTGATAGTACAACATGGAACATTTTTAACTACACTATACTGCAGTTTCATATAGATTACTATTCAATTATTAAACATAGTAATGGTCAACAATTTAACGGTTTATTTAAATACAAACAATTTGTCTATTTTATATCAATGATCAGAATATTTAAGTGAATTAATGGTTTTCCATTAACAAGTTCTACAGTAATTATAAATTTTATTTATTATTTATTTATTTTAACACAAAGATATTGGTACAAGGAGGCACCAAATACATATGCGCCACACAAATCTCATTTGATATGTGTGAGGGCAGCGATACTGCTCGGGTGCCCAAACCGAAGCAGGTGGTTTTCTTAGCGGGCCACTCCCCGAGCCTTCGACCTGAAGGTCTGATCCACATGGCAGTAGAGCATCATGAGGAGATGCAGTCCCATGGAAGCCAGTGACCAACGATTGGTTCATACGCCATTTGTTCTCGCAGGATACTTAAGCCAGCCCATGTGCACCATTGGTTTGGAATCTGGTTAAAGCGCCGGACATTCGCTTTTCGTCCTCTGAATTTCGTAATCAACACCGGTGTCGCGAAAAGTCAGTGAGTAGGACTTCCCTGGTAGAGGCTGTATACGCGTGGCGATGTGAGAGCATTTCAAGAGGGAGAGTGGACTCTCCTCACTCTCTGCCGTACCAGGGAATTTGGGGGCAGATTCGAACCCAGGACCTATCAGTCTCGCGCCAGGCGCCTAACCAACCACTGAGTTTATTATAAATTGATAATTATTGTGATATTTTACGAAGGTGTGCATTAAATGAATTTAATAATGTTATATAATTTTAAAAATGGTGAACTTTTGCATTCGTTAACATATAAATACTTTCAATAGTTGAAATCATGAGTCAATTGAACCTAGACCACCATGGAAAACTTGGAAGCCCTGGATGGCCATTTCGTTTCTAGTATGGAATTTTGTATGTGTTCTATCCAGAAAGTCCTAGGTTCGAATCTTACGGGGAGCGGGATCGTGGATGCGCACTGCCGAGCAGTTTCGCAATAGAACGAAACAGCCGTTCAGTTCTTCCAGGTTTTTCATGGTGGTCTAGTTTCAATTGATTCATGAATCCAATTATTATATCATTATTATATCCACAAAAATCCCTTCTGATACTAATCAGCATATGTTCAATAGTGACTGGCTCCGAGAGGTGTTTCCTGGAGTTCTAGTGAGAAGCAGTGGCCAGTGAAGTTCAACTGGGTCTGTTGTGAGATAATAACTTACTAATGACAATTGTGAACGTGTCGCTCAATTTTGTGCATTATTTGAAGTTAAACATTAACAGCATTGCATGTCGACTCAGTGGTCTCAAGGTTAAGAGTTCGTGGGCAAGACCGATAGTTCCTGGGTTTGAATCTCGTGAGGCGGAATCGTGGATGCGCACTGCTGAGGAGTCTCACAATAAGAAAAAACGGCCGTTCAGTGCTTCGACGTTTTCAATGGAAGTCTAACTCCAATTGACTCATGATCTCAACTGTTGAAATTACTGCAATATCCACAAAAACCCCTTCTGTTATAAATACTTCAAAATTGTGTGATTTGTAAACTAGAAAGGTCATTTAATAAAGGTCAGTATGATTTATAGTAAGGTGTCAAGCTTTAATCAATATAACAGTAATACAATAAATTCTGTGAATAGAATAGATTAGAACTTGATGTAAAATAGAGAAAGTATTATCTAGTTTAATATGATATTCACTATCTACCAAATGTGAAAGGATGACGCTGTTAATACATCCCATGATTCGTTTTACAAACCATACTGGCATATGATTACGAGCACACAAAGATAAGGCCCTCTGAGTACGACCATCATAGATCTATTCGAATGTATTTCTGTTCTTTTAAAAGTTAATTGACTACGGGATCACCAGATACCTAAATTGAATATTATAAACCTCTTATCCTGTCCAACCTAATTCCATTTTTTTGTCTATATCTTTGTTAATTTACACATTCATCTTTTCCAATTCATATTGTAGTGAAGGAGAACACAGGTGAGGACAACCGAATTATGAGATGGTGGAGAAGACTTGTAGCTCAGGTCGATTATTTTGGTGGAGTTTTATTCTCTGAGCTGGATGGTTTGGTCGTGGAGCTTTCATCGTTCTTCTGAACGACATCATCAGCACAAACAACCGAATTATATTCAGCACAAAATTATAGAGTTACTTGGTGAAATAGAAAAATCATACTATAATACTTAATTTGCAAAATGTTCAATAATTGTCTTGGACTTCATTGTTCTTGCATTTCCATACTAATTGCTTTCTATTCCCGTTCTTCCTTTCTTGATTTTCCCCATCGTCTGCTGCCAGACATTACATTCCTGACTCGCGTCATATACTACTTATATCAATACAAGTAGCAAGCACCACAATATGACTACCTTTTTATCATAGTTACCTTGACAACACCTCTCTTAATGTATATTATATTCGGACAACATTATCATTATTATTATTATTACCTCGATTATTAAGATGAAATATTCTTACAATATATTCTATTCATACAATTTATTATATGACTGTTCTAATGATTACAACTTGACAAATCATTCTTATCTTTATTCAATGACCTTTCTAGTTTACAATTTCGAGGTCTTTATAATATCTTAACAAATGCGAAAGTTCAACAATATTGTAGTGGATGTATAATATCACAAATAATTATGGACTTATACCAACTATTGTTGAGATCATGAATCAATTGAAGCTGGACCATCAACTATGTTTTAGGGTATAAATCAATAGGTCATTAATATCTAATATTGGTGTATTTAATCATGATATGTAATCATACTCTCTTTGTAACATAGTCAATAGAATCTTGATTACCATTAGATGAATATAACATTGATAATCGTAGATATTTCACTGGATGAAATCATGAGTCAATTGAAGCTAGACAACCATGGAAAACCTGGAAGCACTGGACGGCCGTTTCATCCTAGTATGGGACTCCTCAGCAACTCGCATCCACGACCCAACCTCCCGCGAGATTCGAATCCAGGACCTATCAGTCCCGCGTCAGGCGCTTAACCAACCAGACCACTGGACCGGCATCCAACGGTGTTAATGTCTAACTTCAACCAATCCACGAAGTTGCGCCACCGTACACCATTGTCTTCAGTGAGTTCCTATCTCACAACAGATCTGGTTGAACTCCATTGGTAACGACTTCTCACTAGAACTCCAGGAGTATCTCTTGAAGTTAGTCACTAGTGAGCAGGTGATTATTATTATCAGAATGGTTTTTGCGGAGATTTTTTAGAAAATTCACTGGTTGAAATCTCTACAAAACCCATTCTGATAGTAAATATTTCAGTCTTATAGATCAGTTATGGCTTAAATAACTTGGTAGTAATATTTCAGATTGTGAAGGTTAATAACGGTAGTTCTCCTATCTTCAACTAATTAATATATAGAAGAAACGAATTGAGCGAAGAAATTTCTTTTCAATTAGTTTATCATCATGGCTCTACATTAATATATATGTATAGATATAAGATTATCTACCATAATCCATCAAATTTGCCACATGGTTTACGAGCGCGTCTTTTGCACACTGCTGAAGTCATCGCAATCCATGTTCATAAACCTAAGGATTGCATCCAAAAGGAGTTTGTGCAACCACTTTCGTTACCTTGGCTATCGGTATAGGGACGTTTGTAGCAGAACATTGATAAACTATTTTCGTACATCTTCCTTTTTTTGCTTTTTGAACTTTGTATTTAACTTATTCTCAACATTCATCTTTTGATTCTTACATAGCTACTATTCTAATGACCATTTATCAAAATATTCTGTTCCTTCTCTTTTTCATATATTATGCAACGTACCAACTTCTTGATTTTCGAATAATTACTTTGATTATTGTTAATCGTCTTTCTTCCAATTACTCAATGTTAATTTATCAATTTCAATAGTTGAAATCATGAGTCAATTGATGCTAGACCACCATAGAAAACCTGGTAGCACTGGACGGCCGTTAGACATTCACATTGTTGGATGTCGGTTCAGTGGTCTAATGGTTAAGCGCTCGCGCGCGAAACCCATAGGTCATGGGTTCGAATCTCGCGGGGAGCGCGGTCGTGGATGTGCACTGATGAAGAGTCCCCATGATAGGACGAAACGGTCGTCCACTGATTACGGGTTTTCCATGGTGGTCTAGCTTCAATTGACTCATGATTTCAACTATTGAAATGTCTAAAAAAAATCCCCACCAAACCCCTTCTAATGTTAATTTATAATCGAAATGTCATTATGTGATTATTATTACGTAACGTATCCACTCGATGACTATTATATCATTATTGTAAATCATACTTATATATAATAATGTAGAGCCATGATGAAAAACTAATTGAAAAGAAATTTCTTCACTCAATTCGTCCCTTCTTTATTTACTAAATGTCAAAATGGAAATTTCTCACTATAATCAATATATTTGTACTTAATAATTGGAGATAATCCATTTCATCTTTGTAAACTATATTCTAGAATCTTTATTCTTCTTTAAGATCATTGATATCTTTCTTTCTACCTGTACTATATCCTTATATGAAATCTTCCTTTTATATATATAATATATATATATAGTACCACCATTGAATTAACTACTTCTATGAATTCGGTGTTCATCTTGTTGTGCTAATGAGGTATGGCAACTTGAACCGATGCATATATATGCCTGATCCTATATTGTAACTGACTGACTGATATTACTATCATTATGACCTATTTAGTATGTTATTTTGTTAATTGGGAAAAAAAATTTAAGTTAATGTAAATTTACGCCGGATTGTATGTTTATTATTGACTATCACAATTGATTGATCACTGGGTGGTGATCAATGTCATGAATGTCTAGTCCTTATTAATGGAGATCGAATGCTATCGATCATGTTTCAATGTGGTCACCAGTCTAGGTGACTCGACACTGCGTACACTATATATTGAAATTAGATGGTAGTTGGAGGTAGTCCACAGGAAACCCTGAACCCGGGTTTCGTGCTACTTGGCACTCGTCAGCAAGGTGTACCTGTAATCTTGAGGGAACTGGTGCTCCCTGGCGGATTCGATCTCGTGTCACCCAACTTCACAGTCAGAGACGTTACCACTGAGCTATCCGAGCCGTGACTAACCTCCTGTAGGACTGAGATGTAATCACAATTGATTGATCACTGGGTGGTGATCAATGTCATGAGTGTCTAGTCCTTATTAATGCAGACCGAATGCTATCGAGCATGTTTCAATGTGGTCACCAGTCTAGGTGACTCGACACTGCGTACACTATATATTGAAATTAGATGGTAGTTGGAGGTAGTCCACAGGAAACCCTGAACCCGGGTTTCGTGCTACTTGGCACTCGTCAGCAAGGTGTACCTGTAATCTTGAATGAACGGGTGCTCCCTGGCAGATTCGATCTCGTGTCGACTACCTCCAACTATCATCTAATTATTATGATTATATTTTTTTATAATATGCTAAATGCTCTAGGGCATGACACAATTAAACTACTGTAAATTAAATAATATTGGACAATCTATTCAATGAATAATGAGAAATGTAATGTACATAGGAATGACTAATATTTGTATATTGTGATGACCTTATCAAATAAATTTGGATCATTCATATGATCAACTTGTTAATGATTATTAATATTGAAGCAATAGTACTAATCTATTATGGTAATTTTTATAATAAAAAGAGGAATATTATCTCTTCGATAATAATAATAAACCATATCTGTCAATTAAACAATGAAAATTGATTACTTCATATAATCAGTAACTCAATTATCGGAGAATGTTTGTGTATGTGTGTAGGGGTGGTTATTTAAGCCATATAAACAACAGTCTCTCATGTGAAGAGGAGAACAATCAATTTCCCTTCATAGATATACTTCTGAGTAGACGAGAAGATAGCTCAGTCAAACGATCCATTTTTAGAAAACCAACGTGAACAAGTCAATACCTTAGTTATTATAGTTATTGCCCTGTGTAATACAAACGTGGTTCGATAAGATGCCTATTCAACAGCCTTCATCGTATTTGTACAAATGACGCTATTGATGATGATGTTGAGTTGCTAAGTAAGACATTAATGGAAAATGGCTATCCTCTGAAATTCATAAATAGATGGAAAGTCCATGGTGCAGTGAGACCTACTGTAGTGTTGGTAGAAAAAAACCTTACCACTCAGGGGTGATTCAAATAGCCTTTCATTGAAACAGAGGCTTAAATCAGTCACCAACAAAGCGTATTGCGCAGTAAAGGTCATTATCAAAGAAGGAACAGGGTGCATGCTTCATCCAAAACCTAAAAGACATGAAAACTATTGTGTCACATCCCACTGTGTTTATCAGTTTCAATGTGTGTGTGTGGTCACATATACATAGGGAGGAGCAATTATGATCTCAAAATTAGGGTGTGTGAACATGTACCAAAATGGTTGTAGAAACGAATAGAATCAAGTGACCCAATAACAGTAGAGGATAAACATCTATCATCCTCTATTGCTAAACATATAATCGAAACAGGCCATAAGATTGATCTTAACTCGGCTTTTGAGTTGTTGCAAAAGGGCGTATACTAAGGTTTATTGAAGCCTTAGTCATACGAAGATTCAAACCCTCTTTGTGTATTCAAAAACAGTTTGTTCTCACCTTAAACCTACCCTAGTAATATTGACATATTATCCAGAGTGATAAGGTTTCCAATTGTGTTCACACTATTATTATTATTATTATTATTATTATTATTATTATTATTATTATTATTATTATACTCGTCTCCTGTTATGTCATTTCCAGTCTAGTCGACGTTTTATTTTTATATAAAAATGCTCTTAAGAAGTATATGTGTGATCAGATTGTTTGAAATGTATTACGCTAATCTATCATCACATAGTTATAATAATCTTCGTCTTCTTATTACATTATCGAAATTTAGGAAAGGGACTAATTGCTTTGACGATTCCTTTCATTTAAAACAGTTGAAAGTTGTTCATAGGATCCCTTGCTTAACGTAGGTTTCGTAGACATCGACACTAGTCAGCTGCATTTGTAAAATTAAGAGAACTAATGCTAACCTAGTGAGATTTAAATCGGAGCGTCAGAGATGTTACCGCATATAGAAAGACATAGATTACTAGTACCTAGTGAGAAAAAAAGTGTGTAAACGTTATAAAACACATCAAAGCTTAATAATTAAATGCATTCTAAAATAGGACATTAACAGTGGGGTGTAGAAAATAATTTAGGGCACTCCCTCTGGTACGGCCGAGGGTGGGGAGAGTTCACTCTCTCTCGAAATGCTCTCACATGGCCACATGCATACAACAACTGCCAGAGAAGTCCTAATCACTACTTTCCTGCGGCATTACTGTTATTTACGAAATTGAATGAAAAGTCAATATCCAGCGACTTAACCGGGTCGGTGGATATGGAGGATCCATCTGAAAAGTTGGAAAACCACAATCCCAAACAAATGGTGCATATGGGCTCCAGGATCCTAAGAGAACATATTGCGTATGAACCTATTGGTCACTAGCTACCATGAGGCTGCATCTCTTTACGTTACTCCACTGTCTTGTGGATCAGACATTTAGGTCGAAGGCTTGAAGAGTGGCCCCCCAAGAAAATCACCTGCTTCGGTTTGGGCATCCGTCATATGCATTGAATGATTTATGTGGTGCATATTCATTTGGTGCCTCCTTTTATCAATGTTTATGTGTTCAAATAAATAAATAAGAAAATAATTGTCTATCATACCTTAATCATAAAACGATAACATTCAGTGCTTTGTGTCCAATCCAACTGATAAATTGGTGGAGATAACAGATTGAAATAAATATCAAATCCAAGTAAACTGGAATTCCGTGAGTAGAATTGAGAGGTAAAGGTAACCCATAGTTGATTGGACGACGATAGTGTGTAAATGAGAAAGAAAATAGATTATTTAGAAATTTCTTAAGGAACATATAAGGAAAAAACGAGAAGACAAATGGTGCTCAAAAAGGTTTTTGGTTGTAATTTATATATATATATATATATATATATATATATATATATATATATGAATTATAATTCGAACCACTGCATAAGCAAAAGGTTATGTGAAATTAGTAGCTAAGCGGATAACGCGATGTTGTTCGAAGCAAAAGCTTCCCAGTTTAAGTCGCAGAGCGAATATCAACTATGAGATACAGGTATATCCAGCTGAAGGATCCTAAATAGGATGAAACATGTGCCCTGGATTCCACTGCTAGCCACCACCCATTTCTGCTTAAGATAATTTATGAGTTTACAATCAACACTTTCTGATAAAACATGTTACAAGGTTCGAATGTAAATACTGATTTTCTCAGTGTTCCAAACTGAGAGAAATAAAACTAATAAAGATTACTCTCAAAACTCTTATCGATAAGATAACAGGTCCAGTCCCATAATATATCGTAATCAGAATAGGTTTAAGAGGTAACTCAATGGTTACAGTGTTTGACTTTCGGTCACTTAAACTGTTGAAGAATATGATAAAAACCCTACACTTAATGTGTGGTTTGAGGCCAAATACACTAATCTGTACTATATAAATGATTTTATGGACTGATATTCAGTAAATAAGGAAACATGTTGATTACATTGATATGTCTTAAAGTTCAATAGTTAGGCTTTATATATATATCCATACAAAGATAGATAGGGATTAATAATTAGATAAAATCGAATATTTATTCACTTTTTCAATATTCACACTAATGTTCAGATCAGGTCAAAACCCCGACATTCAATACAAAACATCGAGTTGATCCATAAAATTAATCTCAATAAATATATATTAAATATAAGAGTTCTAACATTGAATAGTCATGGAATATTAGACATCAAGTGGCATATTTTTGAATTAACTTTCATTATTCCTTCATACATATTGTTGTTTTCTATCTTTTCCAACTATAATCCTAATGCTTAATCTTTCGCAATATCCTTGTCATGATAAATATTTCGACTCATTTGATATATATATATATATATATATATATATATATATATATATTGGTACAACATCATGAACCTTATTTACCAACCATATACTTAAGCGATTCAACCACTAAAACCCATAGCCCTTAATAAAGCTAAATGCAAGTTAAGCATAAGCTCGGTCTCCATACGATTGAAGGACTAATTGTTCTTGAAGTACCTGGAAAAGAAATTGGATTATGGGTGATCGTTACTATGTGGGAGAGTGGTTGTAGTGTCCAAGAATTAAATGCTATAGGACTAGTCTCAAGTTTTTTCAAATGGTTCTACATGTTTTAGCATCGTACTTTCGAAAAGACCTGAGACCGAAGATGAGTGAGGTGAGGTGTTACATTTTTGGGTAGATTTAATTCAAAAACCTACTCCCAATTGTCTGAAGGCAGAACCGTTGCATATATTGGTTGATGGAAACAATCCACTGCCATCAAATCTGTGTACAGTCCGTAGTACAACTTTGCTCTCGGGTGTGGCCCCCTAAGAAAACCACCTGCTTCGGTCTGGGCACCCGGGCAGTATCACAGCCCTCACACATATCAAATGAGATCTGTGTGGCGCATATGTATTTGGTGCCTCCTTGTACCAATATCTATGTGTTAAAATAAATAAATTGCTCTCGGACCTAAAGTTGCTACTTACGGTCTTACCGCTGTGTCCAACCGATCTGCCTAGCATGATATAACCTAAAATAACAAGTATTTTGTCAGCCAACAGCATAGAAACTGTGAAAAGTGTACACTGATCTAAACTGCTGAGCAGCATAATCAGTACAAAACAAAAGTTAACTCAAAAGATGAAGTAAAAGAGTAGTTAGATACGGAATAAAGGAAACATAGTTTAGAAGAAATGAACTGATTCAGAGGAAGATAATGGATGAATGTATTTCTACTATGAGAACTTTCAATAATTCCTCAAAAGATCCAGAAAAAATGTTGCAAATACTTCAACCAATTTGCGTTCTTTAAAAAACTTCCAAGATAATTCTGAGAAAGCACTGAATATGTCGTTATTATTCTGATAAGACACATTATGAATCTTATTATCAATTTAAATGTGGAACGGTTCTTCTGGAGGTACCTGAAAAGGAAGTTGGATTAGAGGTGGTCTCAGTGACCTGGGAGCGTGGTCGCAGTGCCCAAAGGACAACTGCTTGAGGTCGGTCACACACGACCTTTTTATGGGCAATTTTTGTGTTCAGTCAGTCAGTCAGTATCAACGTAGAACTTCGTACGTACGTACATCAGTTCGAGTTGCCATACCACATTAGCACAGAGATGCAGTTGTCCATTCAAATCCCATAGTGGTAGAGGTAGCAAGAGTATAAGCAGTAATCGGGAAGATTAGGGTTTGGAGATGTTATTTATAGAGTATAATCCAGTGAAATAAATTTGGAAAGAGGAAAAAAGGGACATGAAGAATTCAGAAGATTAGAATTTGAGAGAACACAGAGAGTGGATGCACCTGCGCCATTGCAAACGATTTTGAGCCATGTCATTCAGGGTCTCTAACCATCGGTTGCTATCATCTCGCGGTCCCCAACCAGGTAGTCTACACCTACCAACATGACTCAGTTCACTTGTCAGTGACTTCATGGACTTGTGCCATGTTTTGGTTTGGCCGCCCCTAGCTTTCTTCCAACCTACTCCTATACCACTGAACATAGCACGTCGAGGCAGTCGGTCGTTGGGCATACGTAACACGTGTCCCAGCCATCTCAACTGATGAAGTTTCACTACGTCATCAATTGATTTGCCATCCTTACCTAGTACCCGTTTTCTAACAACTGTGTTACTTAATCGATGGTCCCATGATATACGAGCAATGTTTCGAAGACACCTATGATCAAATACTAGTAGCCTACGGATATCCTCTACTCTTACCGGCCATGTTTCACTGCCATAAAGTAGGACGGAACGAACTGCTGCACAGTAAACACGTCCTTTGGTTGATAGACGGATATCTCGCCTACGCCATAAATGACGCAAGTTGGCAAAAGCTAGTCGAGCCTTCTGTATCCGTGCTGAGATTTCGTCACACACCAGACCACAAGGGCTGATCAGACTTCCAAGATAAGTGAAGCGGTCGACACACTCAACTACTTCACTCCCTATCACTAGTTCGGGTGTCGATGTAACCCAATCCTGAAGCAACATTTTGCATTTCGAGGGAGAGAATCTCATCCCGAACATGCTTGCATTGTTGCTTAGAGTGGTCAGAAGACTCTGCATTTTGTCAGCGTCTTCACCAAATAAAACTATGTCATCTGCATATTCTAAGTCAACAAGTGAACCTCCCGGTAGAAGTTCAACCCCTGGAAATCTAGATGAGGAAAGTGTTATCTCTAGAAGTATGTCCACGACAAAGTTGAACAAGAATGGGGAGAGTGGACAGCCCTGACGAACACCACTTGAGGTAATCAATTCTGATGACAGTTCGCCATAAGCTCTCACTCTACCAGTTGTGTTCGAGTAGAGAGCCTTTATAAGGTTAATGTACTTCTTTGGTACTCCTTTCAGTGACAAACACTGCCATAGAACCTCACGATCAACAGAGTCGAATGCCGCCTTAAGGTCGAGAAATACTACCATTGTGGGGCGTCTGAATGTGTGTCTGTGTTCTAGAACCTGACGTAGTGTGAATATCTGATCTATACAACCACGTCCAGGTCGAAAACCAGCCTGATTTTCTCTAGTCTGCTCTTCACGAGCTTTGATTAGGCGTCGAAGTATTATTGAAGCTAATATTTTAGACACTATATTAGTCAAACTGATTCCTCTGTGATTGTCACAAGAGGACTTTTGTCCTTTCTTATAGACTGGCACAATCAGTGATTGAGACCAGTCAGATGGGATTACGTCCAGTTCCCAAATTCTACTTAAGACCTCGGTTAATCTCATTGCTAATACTGGACCACCATCCTTAAAAATCTCAGGAGTAAACCTGTCAGGGCCTGCTGCTCTCCCTCGTTTCAGATTTCCTATGGCTTTTTCAACTTCGTAAAAAGTCGGAGGACCTACATTAACTTGCCATTCAGGTTGACTAGAGATCGTGGGAAACCGAAGTGTGGCTGAAGGCCAGTTGAACTGATCCCTAAAGTGTTCTGCCCATCGATCCAATCTCCTGGATTGAGAATGAATAATATGTCCATCTTTCTCTGAGATTGTTTCGCTAACGGTCGGGTTCCTAATTCCGGTTTCCTTAACGAGTCTGAACAATTGTCTGCTATTACCTATTGCCGCTGCCTTTTCCATCTGTCTTGCTTTCGCTACCCACCACTGTTCGCGATCGTTGCGTAGGCTTCTGGTCAGCTTGCGCTTAAGCTGACTCCGCTCTTCATTATGTTCAGAGCCAGGTGGAATGAGTTTCCGAGCATCTATCAGTGAGATAGATGCTGCTGAGATCCAGTGTTGCTCCCTAACCTTCTGGTTTACCTTACTAGCAGATATCACTGCTGTTTCCACAGCTTTTCGGATATCATTCCATGTTGCCTCGGAGTGGGCATCACATACGTGGCTGCCTAACTGTTTTCCTAGTTGTTCCTGAAATATACTCTTAGCTTGACTATCATTAAGTAGGCCCCTAAGAGGTTTTCTTGCAGTGTCTTTCCTACGTCCAGTTAGACGCAAGCAAATACGCGCTCGCACTAGAGCATGATCTGAATCTAGGCATGTGCTCCAGAATGAGCGACAGTCTTCTATCGAGCCCCTCCATCGGTGGCTGATAGCGATGTGATCTATTTGGGTCCAACGTTGGGACGAATTAGGGGGTCTCCATGTTAAAAGATGTTTTTCCTTATGTTTAAAGTTAGTATTTGCAAGGAACAGGCGGTTATCTGAGCATAGCTGCAACAGACGGTCGCCATTATCTGTTCTTTGAGCCACGACACCGTAAGATCCACCCAGGTGTCTCTCCCTATCGCTTAGTTTACCTACTTGAGCATTAAAGTCACCGGCCACAATTACTACATCCGAGCGCTTAGCTTTTCGGAGAAGGTCCGAAAGCTTTCTGTAAAACTCATCTTTGACATCATCTGAGCTGCAGTCAGTGGGAGAATAGGCAGAGACGACGAAGAGGCAACGACGAGTGTCCCTATCTTTCCGGATTCTTACTGTTCCGTTCAGTCGGACAGCGCACAAACGACTGTCTACTGGGATCCACTCTAAGAGAGCTAGTTCTGCCCTAGGACTCAATGCTATACCTACGCCGGCAAGGCCGCGGGAAGCAGAATCAGGGCTCCCAGATACACGAAGCGTAAATCGAGTCGGTTCTTTATTTTGGCATGGTGAGGTCAAATGAATGACGCTACTTGGATCCTGTATGCGCGTTTCGGAGACGCAGCACACATCGATGGCGCGAGATTCTAAAGTCCTAGCTAATGAAGCCTGCTGTCCTATTTGGCAAAGTGTTCGTACGTTAAAAGCTCCTACGTGTAGTTTAGAGCGTGGTTTCAGGAGACCAGGAATAGCGTTCCACGTACTCGAATCGTTTGCCCTAGCGGTGCGAGGTGATAAAGAGACGTGGGGAGGGTTAGTCGGGGAGATAAGAGAGGTATTAGAAGGTGTAGGAAAGATTTGAATGTGACCACCTTGGTCTCTTGTGCTGTTACGGGTATGAGGGCTGATATCACTTCCCGGCTGCCCACACCGTGGAAGGGTATTTCTTGAGGAACCTGAAAAGGAAATTGGATTAGTGTTGGTCTTGACGACCTGGGAGCGTGACCGCAGAGCCCAAGGGACAACTGCTTGAGGCCGGTCGCGCACGGCCTTTTTGTGGAAGATTTTTGACGTGTTAGCTCCGTTCTTCAAAGGGCCTTACCGCCGGAGACGGAAATCCGTGAGGTAAGGTGAGGTGTGACATTTTTAGGGTCGACCTTTTCCAACCCCACCCCTCCTTGTGGGAAGGCAGCATCGCTGTCATGCTGGATGTCCGAGGGAAACACCTTACTGCTGTCACACCTCTGTACAGTCAGCAGTACGACTTCGCCTTCGGACCTTGGGTTTGTTGCTTTTAGTCTTACCGCTCTTCAAGCGACCTTTCTGATGTGGTAGGACCTTGAGGAACAGTTATTCCAGTCAGTATAGCTCTGTTGCTTCATCACGATAGGCAAGCCCGACCACCACGTCAAGGTAGCAACAACGGTCGGACCACACCTGGAGCCCTCGACATGAAGGTCTGATCCACAAGGCAGTGGAGCAGTGTAAGGAGATGCAGTCCCATGGTAGCCGGTGACCAATGATTGGTCCATACGCCATTTGTTCCTTCAGGATCCGGGAGTCCACATGCACTACTGGTTTGGAATCAGGGTTTCCCAACTCCCCTAGGTGGACTATCCATGTCCGCTAACCCAGTTAAAGCGCCGGACATTCGATTTTCGTTCTCTCATTTTCGTAAACAACACCGGTGTTGCGAGAAGTCAGTGAGTAGGACTTCCGTGGCAGAAGCTATATACGCGTGGCCATGTGAGAGCATTTCGAGGAGAGCGAACTCTCCCCACTCTCGGCCGTACCAGGGCATTTGGGGCAGGGAATTTATTTTGATAGACGTAGTTATAAGTATGTATTACGTATACTGCACCATTAATTAGAGCGACTTACAATATTCTTAGTTCATTGATTCGATAGGACACGGATAATGCCTTAAACAGATAAATGACTGTTTTATGCACTTCAAAACTGTTTTACATTTGTAAAATACCATGTAACAGAGTAACTTGAAGTATATTATTTTTTTATGATATATTTAGATAACGGTTAGGAGATATAAATGAAGTGCTTTTGTTATGCCCCAATAAGCATAATGAACGGTAGTTTTTGGGATCCATTTATAGACCGATACTAAGCGTATATTTTTATCGTATAATTGTTAAATAACTAAACTATTCCTATTCGTATCCCTCTTATTATGAGCTTTATTTTGACCTATGAACTATTATTACTGCAGAGGCTGAGATTGGTGTTCTGGACTTGACTGGCTGGGCTAGGCAGGAAGCAGGACCAAAAAATACTCAAGACTGCTCATATAGGTTTACGCGTCATTGGTCACGGCTCTCTAATTGGCAGTACGATTACGTTATACATTAGCAGGGCACACAGGCCACCAGTTATAACAGATTAAGAAATTGTAAGAGAGCTTATTGTATCCATATTGAAGAGTTGAGAAGACAACACTGTTTCATATTTAAAAAGAAAAAAACTGATCATAATCATACTTGTAACACATCCAGTTCAAACGTCAATAGGGTGTGTTCAGTGTGATACTTTTTTGAGGTAACGTATGTAAAACCCTGCCCCATACAATGACAATAATACTGCACATTAGTATGGCTAACTGGTTACCATTTATCAGTATAAACACATCATCGGAAAGCCGGATTACTTAACAAGATGTCAGTGAACACGGAAATGGTTATCTAGCTTCAGACACTAAATAAATGGAATAAAAATGTCTGTGCGCAAATCAGTTGAAAAACTGGTTTAGAAATAGTTTCACATTGAAAAATAAATGATTGAACGTTACAATTTTGGTAATCGGCTACTATGAGAGTAAAAACTACTTTGCCATTGTCTTGTATAATGAACTTTGGGGTTAAATATTGAAATGACAATCACCGAATCGAATTATTCTACATCACTTGAAACCTTACAGGTAATATTGATAAACTTGTAGTAATTCAAAAGATCGCTCAACACATTCATTAAAAATATGCCAAATTATGTACAGTCAGTCAGTAACAACGTAGAACTTCGTACGTACGTACATCAGTCCAAGTTGCCATACCACATTAGTACAGAGATGCAGTTGTCGATTCAAATCCCATAGTGGTAGAGATAGTAAAAGCACAAACAGTAATCTGGAACATTAGGGTTTGAAGACGTTATTCAACGAGTATAATCAAGTGAAATAAATTTGGAAAGAAAAAAAAGAAAGGGACATGAAGAATTCAGAAGATTAGAATTTGGGAGAGCACAAAGAGTAGATGCAACCTGTGCCTATGCAAACGATTTTCAGCCATGTCGTTCAAGGCCACTAACCATCGGTTTCTATCATCTCGCGGATCCCAACCACGTAATCTACACCCACCAACATGGCTCAGTCCACTTGTCAGTGACTTCATGGATTTGTGTCATGTTTTGATCTGGCCGTCCTTAGCTTTCTTCCAACTTACTCCTATATCATAAAACATCGCTCGTTAGGGCAGTCAGTGACTGGGCATACATACATAGTAAAATTATCATAAATTTTAAAATGATTAAGGGGTATTCGTAACAAATGAATGAATAACTTACTAATTAAAATCAATATCCAATTGATGATCCTGTAAAAATGTTTTTATTAAATTTCCATTAGCTAATTGTTCAGAATTGATTTTATTCACTTCAATAGATGTACATTCTATTTAATAGATAAATAAATCACAATCAATGTTTTATTTAGTAAGTTTATTATTGTTTGAATGAAGAAATAAGTAGTATATGCATTCGATAAAAAGTAAACGATAATAATGGTAGATAATATATCTTTATATGTAAACATTCTTTTATATAGTACTACAATTGAAGTAACTATTATGAGATTAGTGATCATCTTGTTGTGCTAATAAGGTGTGGTAAATTGGATCGATGTATATATGTGCCTGGTCTCACTTTGTAGCTGACTAACGATGTGATGATATATATATATATATATATATATATATATATATATATATATATATATATTGATGGAGTTTTGTTATCTATAATCACCAACTGCCTACGTGAAAATGCATATCCGGAGAAATTCATCCACATATATGCAAATAACAACCCTCCGATTAAGCATGATACAGTTGAAAAGAAAAATTGCTTCCTATACTTGCGCTTCAAAGAAAATGAAGTCACCGGAATAATCAATCACAGAATAAATTTCGCATTAAAAGTGGTCTATCCAGCAGCCAAACTGACAACGTTATGGGAAACGAACTGCTCTCTCAAACAAACTAAAATCTACAAGTCCTCTTTTCTCAGTAGATCCAATTGCATTTAACCAATTCACATGAACGTACCACAGCACATACATTGGAAGAACTAAGAGAAGGGTACATGTTCGCATTTCTGAGCATGTTCCAAAAAAACTTGAGGCTGAAAGGGACTAGGGCTCTCAATAGTGCAATAGCTCGGCATTTACTTGACACCGGGCATATCATCAATATTCCGCACGCTTTCAAAATCATCAGTAGACAAAAAGGTACGATTTTCTCTCCGTTTTGCAAAAGCGATCGCGATTTATGTATTCAGAAAGAGACAGTAGTTAACTTATTATTGCCCTGGTAATCCATTTTATTATTTTTTTATATTTTATTTGTTGGTTATTTGTGTAATCTTTTAAAACATTTATTTTTGTGTTATATTCCCCTCCTGCCCCATAACCGAACTCGTAAACCAACTTCTCATTCACACATTTCCGTTCACTCACCCTCTTCAATGTTGTTAGCTTTTCAAATTTCATTCAATTATTACGTAACCTATTTTATCACTGTTTGATTCCATGAACCCTTCATTACCTGTAAAATTATCACACAATGTATAACTCCATTAGGTCATTACATCACCCATCCTTAATTGTTTTCTTAATTCTAACACTAATTAACCTCTGACCTTTTCCTGTATATATATATAGTTATTATTGTAAACCTTTGTCATTCCAATCCTATACATTCATATATGTCAATTGTTTCACGCTATTTCTTATCTTAATGTAAAATTCTATTACATATCAGTGGTTGTAGGCAGCTGATGAGAAACCTCGAAAAATCATGAATTCATACTATTCTGCATCAATATTTGTTCTCTGAGTTGGATGGTTTGGTCATGAAGCTTTCATCTTTCGTCTGAAATACATTATCAGAACAAACTTCAAGTTGAAGTGAAGTGCTCAGGGAAAAAAAACTATCAAAATTATCTATCTGAGATACAAATATCCACCATATGTATATATCCACACAAATTATAATGCAGTCACTAATCTGACTGATTAACCATTAGGTACAGTATGTCTTACATAGATGATATGAAATTGATCGTTGTCGTGCAGTTGAATTCATTTCTACTATCTTAATTTGGCTAAACTTTAACATTCTTCTACTTCTATTGTTCCTTTTCATCAAATGTATTTCCTGTATTTAAATTACTTGAAAAATTTGTTTATACACTCTTTTCAATGTGGAAAACAATTCAAGGTGTCTTCGAAACATTGCTCGTATATCATGGGACCATCGAGTAAGCAACGCAGTTGTTAGGAAACGGGTAGTAGGTAAAGATGGCAAACCAACTGATGACGTAGTGAAACTTCTGCAGTTGAGATGGCTGGGACACGTGATACATATGCCCAACGACCGACTGCCTCGACGTGCTATGTTCAGTGGTATAGGAGTAGGTTGAAAGAAAGCTATGGGTGGCCAGAACAAAACATGGCACAAGTCCATGAAGTCACTGACATGTGAACTGAGTCATGTTGGTAGGTGTAGACTACCTGGTTGGGGACCGCGAGATGATAGCAACCGATGGTTAGAGACCCTGAATGACATGGCTCAAAATCGTTTGCAATGGCGCAGGTGCATCCACTCTCTGTGTTCTCTCAAATTCTAATCTTCTGAATTCTTCATGTCCCTTTTTTCCTCTTTCCAAATTTATTTCACTGGATTATAACATCTCCAAACCCTAATCTTCCCGATTACTGCTTATACTCTTGCTACCTCTACCACTACGGGATTTGAATCGACAACTGCATCTGTGGGCTAATGTGGTGTGGCAACTCGAACTGATGTACGTACGTACGAAGTTCTACGTTGTTACTGACTGACTGACTGTGAGATGTTTGCCAGTTTTACAAAATGAAAAGTTTTGTACATTTAGAGGCCAATATAAAATAACGAACAAGTTTTTCCATGTATGAATTTCTATAATACAAAAACTTAATTCTATAATAATCAATGTTGTTTTGTTGAAACAAACATTAAGATTCTTAATTAGAAATGGTTAATGAAAATCTGTAGATAATTGTCCTTATTCAATTGATTAAATAACACGGTTAATGTTGATTATTATGTAAATATTTGATGTAGGATGCAAATTAGCGTACATATAAAAAATATCAATGTTTTTTGATAACGTGTAAAAATTTGTACACGTGCGAGAGTGGGAAGAGTCACCTTTCCACCTCCAAATGCTCTCACATGACCATATGCATACAATCACTGTCAGCCAAGTCCTAATTACTGCTTTCTCGCGGCATTACTGTTGTTTACGAAATCGAGAGAACGAAAAGCCAATATCCGGTGACGTAACCGGGTTGGTGGATATGGAGGATCCATCTAGGAGAGTTGAAAAACCACAATTTCAAACTAGTTGTAGACATGGGCACCAGGATCCTAAGAGAACATATTGCGTATGAACCTATTGGTCACTAGCTACCATGAAACTGCATCTCTTTATGTTACTCCACTATCTTGTGGATCAGACATTTAGGTCGAAGGCTTGAGGAGTGACCCCCTAAGAAAACCACCTGCTTCGGTTTGAGCAGTCTGACAATATCTTATCGCTCATGTGTACTGAATGATTTATATGGTGCATATTCATTTGGTGCCTCCATTTATCAATGTTTACGTGTTCAAATAAATAATAAAAATGTACAAATTTAACACCGATTGAATTGTACAAGCTAAAAATGTAAACACTTAAATGAATGTATAATAATCTCATTAACATTGAAGTGATATTTACCAATATCACTATTAATAACAACAATAATATAGAAAACCCAATGTATCAAAGTCTTCTATGAATATAGAAAAATAAAAATAATTGAACATCTGTTCGTACTACTTATTTCTTAGTTTATTTATTATTTTCTAAACAACTGATTCTATTCAGTAGTCAGTAGTAGTAGTGTGGTGTGTGCTACTCATATTGACATAAGTAGTATATGATGTTAGTCGCGAACAGAAGGTCTGGCAGCAGAGAGACAAGAGAATCAAACAGTAAAGAATGGAAAACAGAATGCAATTTGTATGAAAATGCAAGAACAATGAACTCTGAATCATTTTGAGACAATTGATGGACATTTTGCAAATTACGTGCTTACTATTTGATTATTAGATCTTATTAATAAGTCCTGTCATGTTGTGTTAAATACATTCGATTGGCCCCACTGGTGTTCTTGTTCATTACAGTGGTAGTAGTAGTAGTAGTAGTAGCAGTAGTGGTACTGGTAGACATCATTATAATATTGAGACTCAAAAGATAAGTGTTTTTCTCTTTCTTTTCTTCACTAAAATAATTAGTTTCATGCAATTGATTCCCTTTATGAATTTAAATACAGCAAGAACAAACATGGATGCAGAATAGTATGAATTCATATTATTTCGAGGTTTCTCGTCAGCTGCTTACAAACCAAAATTGTGATAGAATTTTTTTACATGGAGATAGAGTGAAAACAATTGACATAAATGAGTGTAAATAACTGGGTTACAATAATAACTATATATATATATATATATATATATATATATATATATATATATATATATGCTAGAAACAGGTCAGAGGTCAAAAGAAGGGGGGTTAATCCAGGTTGGGTGGTGTAATAGTTTAGTAAAGTTCATAAATTGTGTGATAATTGTAGAGATTAATGGAATTAAATAGGGTTTGGAAAGTTAAGATGATTTAAGAGGATCAGGCGGTGGAAATGTATCAATAAAATTTTAGTTTAAGAATTAGGTAATAGGGGGGGGAGTATAAATTATCTTAGAATAAGTAAATGAATAAAATAACCAAAACACCAAACAAACAGAAACAAAAAGATTACCAGGGTAGTGATAAGTTTATTAAAGTCTCAAGTATCATTAATTCATAATTTCTACAAGTGTGTGTGTGTGTACGGTGTATATGATTCAATTTATTATCATTATTATTATTACATTTCAATATGGTGATCATTAAAATTATATTTGACTGTATCAAAACACTAAAGAATTGCAATCTCATTATTATTTAGTTTATTGCACATCATTATAAAGTACAACAAACTAATTTGTGACTATTTCGTCCCAGTTAATAAATCATTCTTTATAGGTAATGACTTATGAAATATTGTCATAATTATAAGTAGTAAGGCGATATATTTATGTTATAGTATACAGAGTTTTATCACTAGCCTTCAACGCAGCATAACTCAAATCTGAGTACTTGGATCACTAAATCTGATTTTTGAAGTACATCGTTGCGTCAAAAGTTTTTATACCTATTCAAACTTTCTGTTTTAAAGTTATCAGGTTAATTCATAATTCCTGAGTCTCTTTTCCCTTATAGGATATTTAATCAAACATTATCCTGAAGGTCTTGGTAAAAGTGTTTTTGTTCATTTTCTCACTCATAACACATTTATTAATTGACAATTTATCATGCTTTACGTTGATGTACAGTGTTGTTTAGTTTATTTGAATCAGGTTTTATCAACTTTAATCGTTGGGAAAAGCGTTTTGTATCCTTTATTCGAATAGGTTCTGAGGAACATAACAATTTTTTCCATTGTTAATAAACCAAATCATAAATGGCAATTTTATTGATGTCTAAATAATAGACAGGCTTTATAAACTTGTCAGTGTATCCACTTCTGTAGACCAACAATATATTGTTCTGTTAAATGTACCCATGATCAACTGTAAGTCGGTAAGTGAGCTCAAAACTACGAATATTGAAGTTTTGTGATATGCTACAAAATAAGATGATATTTATTAAAAAATCTATAATGCCGTTGTTACGCTCTTCCTAATTTGCCTTTAGTCTACCAATAAACATCACCTTAGTTTGAATGAATTGAAAGCAAGATATTATAGACACAAAGTTATTCAAACATGACAACCGTTAGTCGACGAGAAAGGTCTTAAGAATGTATCTAGACATTCATTAGATAAAGTATAGCTAGTCAAGTGGTCCGAATATGTCCTATGCCATCTGACAAGCGTAAACTTATAAAACTAACTTCTTATGAATCGATTAGTTCCACTAGACGAACATACGCCACTTTCTGTGTTAATACACAATAAAGACGGTGATTATTCGTCAATCCAAACATAAGTATTAGTTTATCATGTTATATATATATGGTTGTAGGCATTTGATAAGAACGTGTGAAAATTTTTTTTTATATTACTCTGTGTTTTCTTGTCTATATTTTGAGTTATTCAATTAAATCTTTTCATTTATCTTCTCAAGAGTTATTAGCAAAAGATGATATAACCATTACTACTAAAGAGTAATTGGATTACATCTTGTAAACACTCTTTACTCAATACTTTGTGTTGGGCTATAACATAACAATTTAAGCTAAGTAACTCAATAAGATCCAGATATATTTTAGTTGACAAATCCATAATAAGATAAAATAAATGCCATTGATTTCACTGTTAACCATAATCTGAGTACGCAAACAGTTATTTCCAGTTCAGCGCCCTAGATAATAATAGCTTAGCTCTCAAAAAGATCATAAAGAGTAACAATGAAGAGAAATAAGTAGTGGTGAGTAGATTTCGGCACTCTATTGTATCTAATATGTACAAACTCAACTATACACTTTGGAAACTAAATGCACTAACACAAAACATATATATTGACGTCGTACATATACTATTAGCAAGGACTGGAAGTGAATGAAATAAAATAAGTGAATGCGATTACGACGATAACGAACTCACTTTCTGATTCACGTATATATGATACACTGAGCATAGGATGTTTATCCTTATCTGTAGTAGGGGATACATATCTCATACATAATTTCATTGTTGGATTCAATGAATCAAACATATAACCACCAATGGCCAATTCTTTTGTTTTATTGAACTGTACCGAAAGTGAATGAAACGATTAAGACGAAAAACAAAGAAAAAACATAACAAAACAGAATAATACAAATAAAACGGTTCAGATCCGATCTCTGGTGGGGTCGTGGATGCTCATTGTTTAGTCACATACAGAGACAAAACAAGTGTCCACTTGTGCTTCCTAGCTTTCTATACTTGCCTAAAAAGGTGTCAGTCTTTTGATTTGAAACTTCAAATTCAACAACCTCTGCAAACAACTCCCGTAATAACAGTTTTTTAATTTAATTTTACTTATCCAGATACGTTTAGTTGCCGAGTTGATTTTTTCAATTATTATGGCATTTGATTAAGTAATCATACAGTAGAAGGTAAAGGGATACGAACCGAAAACCCTCGTTTGTGTCCGGAAGAAATTCGTGATACCCCTGTACCCGCCTTGACTGAATATGACTTAGTGAACGGCTTTATCAATTTTTCACATGGCGTATTTGTTTGTCAGTTGTTACTCTTTCAGTTTAGATTCTTCAATATCTAATTATCTACACATTTCTTACAGAGCAATTTAAATTGTGATTTGTGATTATTGTTTGAAAGTTCATTTATCCAAGTTTGACCTATTTTCAACGTTGGACTATCGACTAGAAATTTTATTATTTTATTATTCTTATCAACACTAGTACACCAGTCTGGATGCACACTGCTGAGTTCCTTACTAAAACAACTCTCATTCAACACTTTCGGATTTTTAATGATGGTCTAACTTAGATCAGTTCATAGTTTTAATGAAATTCTTACTATTAATTCGTGCTTTCTACCTATTGTGTGTATTTATACAATCTATTTCATTGTGATCATAGACTCATGAACTGCTTTGATTGGTTTAAAAAGTTTTCATATAAATATAAACATTAGAGTAAAGCCTGATGTGGATCTAATTGAAAACAATATTGCTCGCTTATGTGTTGTTTTAGTTCTTACAACGGGAAATTTTAACTTCTCATATATCGATTTAAGTTAATTTGTTTCTCAGTTACGGACACCAACAACTGAAGTCTAAATTTTTAATCAAGAACCTTTTTTTAAAGAAGAAAATGAATGTATGGAAATAAAATTAAATCTGTTTTTTACCTGGGTGATAGTATAACCAACGTGTTCATAAAAATCATTTATTGTGTATACAGCATAATCACCAGTTGCAGGTGGATAATCTAATGTTTCATATTGTGAATCCCACTGACGTAAGTATAGATGACAAAATGCTTTATGTGATACATCACCAAAAGATACATGAGCTGCCCGATAAAATCCAAATTCAATTAACTGGGTTTTGGGGGCGGGGGAATCAAAAGAAACGAAGAGAAAGTAAACTCAAATATCGTGAGCTGATTAAAGTTAGAAACTATAAACCATTGAATAGCAGCTCAGTGGTTTACAGGCCAAGAGTGCGACACGAGGTCTGAAAGGTCTTTGTTTCGATTTCCTATGGGTTCATGGATGAGGACTGCTGACGAGTCCGACACTAGGATGAAACGGTTGTCCAGTTTCTCTTGGTTCTCAATTGCTGTTCAACTAAAATCAGTCTGCTATGTAAACAAAAAAATTCAGCCATCTCCATAAACCCCTCATACTAATAAAAATAAATTATATTAAAATGATGGTGTAACACCGATGGAAGACTAAAGAACGTGCTAAACAACTTCAGACACATTTAAACATTAAAGCCAGGACAAACCGCAACATTAGTCAGTACCACTAATAAGTGTATAGGCTCTACTTTTGACCAAATTGTACATGCGACTCGTATACTAAGCACGGATTTGTATATCCAACTTTAAAAAAATACCTTGTATTTTAGGGTTAGTGATACTATTTAACTGTTCTGATCTAATTACTAAAAGTAAAGTGTGAATTTTTGACTTATTGATTGAACGAGTAAATTAACCACTAAGCCAATGATACGATAAGGATAACTATAAAATGATATGATTATAAACGTAGAGTCTAGCACAAATCTCTGTCGATTCAATTTACCGCATCGAAAGACGGCATGTCGGCAGGGAAAATGAAAAGTTCAGTAAAAAAACCTACAAGAATTAAGCTAAAGAAACTGTAAGGGAAAAGTATCACCGAACTTTGTATCCGTCACTAAATTGATATCTACATTAACAGTTCTGAGTACAGTTTACAGTAGGAGTCGTGCATGCATGCTTCTGTAGTCCCAAGTAATGACGAAACAGGCGTTCAGTACTTTTTGGCGTTTAGAGGTGCCATAATTTATATCACTAATCTATGACGGAAATAAAAATACTTAAAAGCTAGCTAGTTGAACCAAACATGATTTTTTGAGACGGAATATCACGTATGAAAACGGTTCATCTCATAGACTAACTGATTGATTGACTCAGGAATATATTACACATGATTATGATTATTCGTACATTTGTCTACTTGTATATACAAATCATGTGACCATAAGAAGTTGGTTGGAAACATCATCAGTCCGAAGTAACAGCCAGATATCATTAACACAGGCTCTAGCAAGAATGTGCCTCGGCTTGCGCTACCATATATCATAGACCTGACCTGTCTATCTGTATGACCAAAAAAGGAATATGGATTTTTAACCATGTGTTATCATAATATAGCTTTTCATGAACAAAATCAACACTAAAGACCTTAATACTATCTAACGTGAACAATAAATAAGATTACGTGTGGAGGATTCTGAAATTTACAGTTAAGGAACTTGTCATTTACACAAAAGATACAAAACAAAGATGACTAGACTTGAACGAACCACATGAAAAGATTTACCTGGATTGTAACTAGTAACACCTTGAGAATCTGAACGAACAGTTTGAATGGAATACGTCGTTTAGCATGAAATTTACCAATAGGTGTCATAAAATGATAATACAATCGACGACGCATCCAACTTTCTACTTCGTTTGGATTAATAACAGTAGAAGCTGTTGAATCTGCACCGTCTTCTGTAGTTGGTGATGATGTTGATGCACCTGCTGCTGTTGCTGCAGTGGAATAAACATGATCATTACCATATTCATCATGATCAGAAATAAGTGGACGTTCTTCAAGTGTTGAATCACTGTGTAGGTAATTACAATTGGTGTGTTCATGTGGTGCATTGTTCTGTGGCTTCTCAAAATACTTAACGAGACGAAGCATTACTTTCTCTACAACACCCTGAGATCCATGTTTGTTAGTATTATTATTATTACTAGTGTTGAAATCAGGATTATTCATGTGTGAAACATAAGATGGGGGCAAATGTAAACAAGGTGGCACAAAGAGATGTGCTTCATCAACATTATCATTCCTTTCGAAGTTAGATTGATCTGGTGAAAATTGACTACGATATCTATTAGCATAAAGGGGATCCGGAAGCCTGTAATGTTCAGTGTGACCAGTATACTCTACAATTTTCTCCTTCTTAAAACGTTTAGACATAGCAGGTGGGTAATGGGATTGAATTAAACAGAATACATTCGCTTTTAATACCTGCAGGGAGAATTTACGTCAGAAAAACAAAACCATTACTAAACTGGTAAAATTGAAACGTAAAATCATTTCAAAATTCTGAAAAGGATGAGCCATAGAAAAAAAGACAGGTAAATGAGTGGACAATAATAATGTTAACTCTTTTTTGGTCACAAAATTTCAAGTATGAATTAATGATCAAAGGAAATATCAAATTAGGAACCAAACACACGTAGTACCACTTTAGGGAATTTCATGGTTTTAACCATACTCGTGAGAAATATGATAGTTTTGCCCAAAGTTTATGGAAAGCATGAAGGAATAACTAGAGTTATAAGATTCTGTAGACGAATTGAGAACATTACCAAGATCTTGGGAATTTTCGCCAGACCTAGAGAAATTCTTGAGGTCTTTAGGCATTTTCCCAAAGTTTTCTATAGCTGTTACCCCAAAATTTAACTAAACCGGACAAACATTACCCCAAAATAGGGAGATTGTGTTCATGATATGAAATTTCCATCATCAGTAAAAAGTATCGTAAAACAGAGTTGGCAACGACTGACCTACCAATATATAGCTTGTACAATAATTAGCTTGCAGTCCGAAAAAAATAGCGGGGTTGAAAGTCGGAATAAATATATGCGAAATAGGGAGAAACAATGATATAATTCCTAGTCGGGTCAAACAGTTTGACAGTTAAGAACATGTAAACGTACTAAACAGAAAAAGGTACTTAAAAAAATTATTATACCTCGAAGGAACATAAACTCTATATAATCACAAGCTTCCTCCGTAACTGGGAGCGACTTCAACACCAGACTTTGTAGATACCGCCACATTCTAACCTTCACTAACCGGTATTTGTTAACTTGAAGAGATACGGTTTCAATTTTCACCACTTTTCGTTCTGAAGCGATTAAATCAACAATTTACGTAAGATTATTCTTGTACACAAGGTTTTAGAACTTTATGATCAATACATAGGGCTTTTACTCATGTCGACTCTAAAACGTTTTTAACAAATTAATTGTCAACTGAACATCGACGTTCTCATCGAATCATCAACGGGTGGAATTCATTACCTCAGCACGTGGTTGAGGCTCCATCCGTCGACACTTTCAAAAGAAAGTTGGATCAGCTGAGAGACTACCATTGCCAGGACTAACACAGGCCATTAAGCCTCCTGTCCTTTCCAAACTGAAACTGAAACCTGCCTTCAAGATAATGGATGATGAGTCTGCACCTCATAGTCAGTAAATGCAGAATCATTATGGTGGACTTCACTGATGCTCTATCCACCCCATAATTTGTAGAATATTCCAGCAGCACCCTCTCCTGGACAGAAAGTTACCTGGGAATAACTATATGTTATAATTAGGGTTTCGATTTTTCCTGGTTTACTGCAGCCAGCAAAAAACATTCGACCTTGGGAACTTCAAAATCGTTTAGAGATCTTGTCAGCAAATACCAAGGCTCTCAGTTAAAAAATCCTGTTCGATGTCACCTTACGCTTTTGAAAGTTAGTAATAGTAAGGTAACTAGAAAGTACTCGTACTACAAAATTATGCCCAATCAGGCCATTTGGAAACTCGTAACCATTGCCCTGTGTAGTGAGTTAAACTATGGGGATGTGGTCCTTTTGTATTACATAGCCTATAATAATATTCCCGCTGACAGATCACTAATCCACTTTAGCACCAAATCACATCTAAAAGGACATCTATTTAAGTTAGAACACTAACGACCTCTCAAATAAATGCATGTAAACATTTTCTTGATATATATTACTAAACTGTAAAACTCATCAATTGATCCAGTGGTAACTTCACTCTCCTAAATGTCATTCAAAACGAGGATTAATATTTACCTCAGTTCCGCAGATACTTAAAGTGATAATATGTCACTCCACGATTAGTTTCACTAATAATGGACGAAAAAAGCTTTGATTTAACGAGATTCCGTATCTAGTAGCAGTGGGAACCTAGGTATGTCAACGATAAAAGAAAAATAATGAAATGTTTGTAAATGCTAGTGGGACGCTGTCCTTATTCCCTAAGATTATGACATATTTTCTCTTAAAGGACTCCGGGGATGTAAGTTGGACTTGCTCAGATGGCAGCGAATTCTGTAGTGGCATTGCACCCTAACCACACAATCCTCAAAGCTGAACACGAGACTACTTGGAAAATAGATATATTTAACGCGGAGAAAAACCCAACGGGGAGAATGCGGGAAGAATCAATAGAGTTAGTTCAAACCGATCAGATGGCATGGCTCGGCCTTGCAGGCATGGTCCCTGTTGAATGTTATCTTATATCTTTTCTTCGTATTAAATATATTGTTCTGTCTCTAGCCTATGCTTGTTCTCCATCATGTATTGGTAATTGTTACGATGCAATAAGTTGGTGTAGACGATGATGTAATTTCCATGTAAGATCTTATAGATTATGGCAGTTACATAATGATAAATCCATTAATATCATGGAAGACTATAATTCGACAGTTCCACTCTTAAGGAGTAGAAGGTGTGCCTATAGTTCACTATACTATGTTGTGCCGCTAATTTCTGTGTCAACCCTAAGTTTTGTGGAGACTGAGCTGAAGGTGTTTAAGGGTAATGCTAAGTAGTATTTTGGAATGCTATAAATTATTAGGTCACCACTGAGACATCTATACTCTAACAGTGTAAAGACTCAGTGGTTTGAAGCATTTGAATTTGAATCCTTAAACTAGTTTCATGGCTCGCTGTACGCTACGTCCTAGTGTGTTCTTATCCCTTCAGAGTGAGGAAGGAAACACTATTTTCCTGTTCTAAATTTGGCCGAGTAAAACTGTTCTAGACTAAGTGGAAAGTTCTGCGTCAAACTGACTAGAAATGAGTTTCAACGTTACCAGTCCAAAGTTTGCCCGAGAGGTATCTCGTCGCAGTAAACATAAGACTTTAGATAGTAGGGCACCAACAATCCTAGATCCTTTTGAACATGAGATACCTCTATAAGGGGGTTGCCTAAGTTTTAGTTGTAGTCTGAGACATGTATCAGACAGATCATTTTACGGATTGTGACATTCACGTTGATATCTTCCAACTCCTTAGAGATGGTGTAGATGGAGTTGTCGCATTATACGAGTGTTCACAGAATAATGCACTCTAGAACATAAACCAAAAACGTATGATGCATAGTAAATGGTAAGGAGTACTTTGTGGACATTCTCAAGTCACAGATATCGTGAATCGCGCATTTTTCTGAGCTATCAGTTTAGAAAGTCATATCTGGTTGCTCCCAACTAGATGTGTTGGTGGGAAAAGATTACCTATGATCGACGCTAAGGTGACCTTGGGAATGCTTACCTACTGACTACGGCTAAAAGAAGACTATAAAGCCGTTTTAGGAATCAGAATTATGATTTACAGTTGACTGTTAGGGTTAGGAACTAGATTTACTGTTTTTATTTACTAAATGGTATCAGCTCAAATGCCAGTACGCTAGTTAGCCAAATGTGTGGGTGAATTTTGCACTAAAACACAAGGCCTGTTATCGCAAACTTGATTGGTTCGTCCTTAAAGTATGGTATCTCTGATGTTTCTCTTCTCATTCAACACATCCTCTTTACCACAATGATCATCGGACTGTGAGGTTTGAGACTGGTAATAACAATGAGTTGCCGAGGCACTCGAACAAAAATAAATCTGCAGGTTTGTGCAACATCAAGAATTTCGAAGAGATGTGAGTAAAAACTTTCTTTCGATTTGCCACTTACTTCGAGTGATCATTGGTTAAGAGTAACCTACCCATTAACTAGAAAAAGGGTATAGCTGGGATACTAAACGAAAACCATAACATAGTCGAAACTTTTAATAACAGACGAACGTCTTCGCTCGCCATCGTTGTATAGAGACCATATAAAAGGCTATACATGAATCTCTTCGAGGCTCAATTTGAAACACTACTCTGCACCGTTTCAGAAATATCCTTTCCTCAGACGGCTCTAGTAACACAAGGCTGTCGGCTTCCTGGTATACCTGAGGACTGCAGTTAATATATGAAATTTCCGTGACACTAGCCTTCTTGCCTTATCCAAGACATTTGATAGAGTTGAAAATTGAATTTTTAGTTTGAACTTGAAGATACTCATTTCAGTACTGTTTAATTGGGAGATACCAAACGGTTAGTGTTCACTTTGGATTGTTTGATTAATCCAAATTGTCAACCTTTTTCGTTTCCTGACCACTTTTTTCATCACTTACTGACAACCTCTAGAGTATTATGGATACTAAAATTATGGAACACGAAAGTTGATTTCAAAAATGCTTTGATGTAGTTCACTGGCTTGAAGGATTGGGATCTGCAGCATGGAGATTATCTTTTCAAAAGTTGATTGTTTCACCTAGTGAATATCTATGTGTTTAATAATGATTTATACAAACAAGACCCGTCATCTATATAATTTTACTTCGTTTTTACTCACCTTGATATATGAAGTCTTTTTATGTTTGCATTCATAATTATTACTGTCATTAATATCATTATTGGTCCCTCGACACATAAGATATTATTTTCATTTCTTCTATTCGTTCTAGACATACTTTATTCCTAAACATCCAAAGTCTATAACTAAAAAACAAATTATCTCACGGTACACCAAAATAAACTAACTTCTCAGATCTATTTTATCTTCTTTTCATACATATATATAACCCACAGAAATCTGTATTTGATTATCCTTTTCAATTATTTGTGACTTACATAATATCACGATTAATTATTATTGCACAATTAGTTATCTTATTATCTTATTTTATTTTATTTACTTTTTAAATTGTTGGCTGACTTCAGAGGTTGATATTCATTACACAGTTATTATTATTATTGTCATGGTTGAACCCTTTCACTAGGTGTTCATTTTCTTTTCTCTCTTTTTCCCATCTAAATAAATATTACTCTTAAGCTTACGAAGTTTGTAATAAAGACAATAACCCGTGTTAAATTTAAACTAAATTCTCTGACTCGTTTCATCTTCACTGTGTATATATAACTTATACACATTGATATTTGGTTATCCTTTACATCTAATTGAGACTTTCGTGGCATAACTTCAAACTATGACTGCACAAACATTCATTCTAACGTCATCTTACTGCAATAAGAAGTTATTTTCTCTTGATTATTTTCTATTTTATTTTAGTTACTAATTTGAAGATAAATCTCCAGTCGTTTATCCTCGTTGTGTGTTCATAAGCACATTTATTATACCATTTGCGTATTTCACGTCTACTTTATTTATACCCCCTAATTTTCTCCCTATATTTTTTAAACTCAATTCAATATTCTTCTCAATTACACAGGACCTGTCTTATTATTATTCTCTTTTTCAAATATGTCAAATATAATGCTAACATTATTTAAAATTGTGTATTATTACATTTTTTAAGAAATCCGAAATGGTTTCTTTACAACACTTATATACCCATAAGATGTTTGTGAATAATAATAATAATAATAATAATAATAATAATAATAGTTAATGGACTACGGTTATATTCCGATAATATCGGTGTTTTCACCACCTAATATATCAATTGAGTGAATACTTAGATTTATGCAACATTTTGTTTAACGAACCTAATAATTTGCCTTAGTTAACCATATTAAATGAGATGTAACTATTTCATATTGCCAGAAAACTGACATGACTCATATAACTTACCGTTAGTTGATACAAAAATATTGTCGCCTTCACAAGAACTAAAAATGTGCAAATTAATGTGATACTTGTCAATACATTTACATTGAATAAAGTCACACTTGGTCCTTCCTTAGTAACCTCAATTCCTAATTTAATGTCGATGGCAT